CAAGGTATATTGTTTTAAAAAAGGCATAGTTTACAAACTGCGTGTGTAGCATAACTCATTTTGAAATCAGATACATATAATTTATCTTTCTTAAAAGCTTGAAGAGAGATGCAACAACCTGGCAACAATGGCCCTGCGGGTGAGATTTTGACTCTTTGGATATCTATGCATCGTGTGTATTTTCTAATTTCTCTTCAGTGAATACATGTTACTTCCATAAGAGGAAAAAGACAACACAACATATTAAAAATGATTAGAAGATATTTTGTGATAACGTTTAGTTAGCTGTGAAATGAGAAAAATACACAATTTGTCTTTTTCGGTGGAAAACACAGCAATTTCTCACAGCCCAGTGGCTGAGAGTACAACCTATGGAACCTACCCAGGCTGGATTCAAGTTCTCGATTGCCGCTTCCTAGATTTTTCATCCTGGATGTGGGCGCCGCGTACTGAGTCTCAATTTCTCATACGCAGACTAGGGTGATAATGGTGCAAGACTTGAGACGGTCTGTCACCTCTGGAGCAGACGATACTTTATTCGTTTGATCTCAATGCCTTGGACGTTTCAGGACGTGAAGAGTGAACGACCGGCCCAAAGATGTGGCTCTCCCTTTATTTCTTTTAAAGGGCAAGAACAGTTATGAAGGACACATGGACAATAACGGGGGCGGGGTGGAAACGGGAGAGAGGTGCGGAGGGCTGGGCTGGGGGGAAAAGGCATAAAACTGTGCTTGAACAGCCAGTCAAAAAATTAAATAAATGTAAAAAATTAAAAAAAAATACAGGACAAGACAAGCACTATCCAAACACTGCCCACGGTGCCCTGGGCACGAGGCCTGGGTGGGGGGAGGTCAGTGAGGCGGACTTGCCAAGGGAGCCAAATTTAGGGGAGCACCCAGAAACTCAGTAATCAATGTCAATACTATTTTAATGGGATATTTTTTAAAATAAAAGTTATATAAAAATTTATGATGAACAAAATATCAACCACTTTAGTAAAGACAGGCTAAGTATTACTGATTTTTCCTGTGCCCCAGGCTCCATTACGGCTCTGCAGGGCACCGGATCCAGCCCACAGCCCGAAGGTAGGAAACTTTCCATCATTCAAGTCATTATTCATTACTACTTAATAAGAATTAATTATCCCAATTATCCTGAGCCTCAGAACTGGCATGGCTCACCCTGTGACTGCTTGGCCTTCAGTCAGGCCCTGGAAGGATGTCAGGAGGGCATGTGTATTTTTCTGACCCTGCTTCCTCCGGCTCCTCTGTAGGCACACCTAATCACAGCTGCTACCTATCACAGCCTTCTTACGTCATGGAGGACTCTGAGGAGCAAGTTTTTTCCTATTCTTTTATAGAAACATGAAATGCTAGCAAAGCGTGATTTCTACCCCAGAGAGCGCTGAGCAGACTTTGCAGGTGTTACAGACTACTCCATTGGTACTTCTGGGGAAGGGCACACTGCCTTTGGCATCCCTTGCTTCAAAAACAGGCATTAGTGAACAGCATGTTCATTCCATCTTCGTCCCAGAAGAAGGGAAAATCCTTCTGTGATGAGATCAGCTGGGTTTTATGTGGAGTGTTTCCTTCAGTGCCTTTCATATTATTACATCATGGGATTTTTGTGGGAATTAGTTTATGCATGTAAAGAACTTCACAGGGCATTCATATGGAAATTGCTAGTCAAAAGCAGCAAAGACAACATTTAAAGCATGAATTTTCATGCAGTGGTTTTATTTTTACATGGGACAACTCTCATGCTGATACCATAGATTCCAAGTTGCTCTATTAATAAAGTAATCACTAGGAAAATGTAATGTCCTTAGTATGTTTTAGAAAATTTTTGCTCTTAGTTTGATGGAATGTAGATGTTATTTTCAAACATATAAGTTGAAACATCATGAAATAAACTTAACCTATGGCAAATTTGGTTCAGAGAGCACTTGCAGAAATCTGTGTTCTTTCTAGCTCTTAAAAAACTCAAGAGACCAAAGGGGAAAGGGGGTAATTCGGATGGGTAGCGTATACGACTTAGATTTGGTTACAGTAAGTTTAGCATAATCCGTTGTAAGGTGACATTCTGGATGAACTTTATAACAGTGAAGAAACTAGCTCAGAGAGTTTTTTCTTTAATTGAAGGAGTGTTGCTCACCGCATTTTTCCTTTTTTAGATTCACGTGTTTACCAGAGAAATGAAACACACTTAGATTATATATCTGTGTTCAGTAAGCAATCTGACTCCTCTGAGACCACCAGGCTGTGAGGGAAGTCCAGCCAGTCTCACATGTTCCAGCCTTCGCAGGCCAGGCACCTGACATGCGAGTAAAGGAGCCATCATGGGCTTGGGAGACATGACGTGGAGAATAAGTTTCAGGAGAACAGGCAACTTGCATATCTTGGTCAGAGCAACATCCCCAGCACCTTAAAATTCTGTGGTATGTGGTAAGGGCCCAGGGATTGAATGGATATTGAATGAATAAACTGAATGAATAATGAGTTTACTGCAGACCATGTAAACACTGATCATAAAGTTCTCCCAGGGGATATTCAACCATCAGTAGGTAAATGCAAATTATTAGTTTTTATCACAAAGTAAAACTCTTGCTTAATTCAAATCACGTTACTCCTATTAGTTTGCCTTTGTTCCCCTAGACTTGCCACTGTTACAGTAGGAGAGGGTTTTTTCTTACTGGTCTCCAATGTTCTCTTCAAATAAAATATTTTCAAAACTATTTTCCTAATAATTCTTCCCAGGTTTTTTTTTTTTTTTTTTTTTGCTTAGCGAGTTTAAAATTCTTTAATCTTCAGTGTTGTATATATCTATTTGTGTGTGTTTCTGTTGTTAAATGCAGGCACTTAATCTAAGGCATTGTCTCAAGTCTATAAGAATCACCCAAAATACATTCCTAAGAGTTCAGACAATATTTATTATTATTATTATTATTATTATTATTATTATTGAATGTAGTCAGTAGGTCCTAAGGATTTAACTAGACTCTTTACTGTAACTGAACTTCATCTAATCTTTTTCCATTGTACATTCTACAGTGGTTTTCCACATTTCAGTATATCGCCTATTCTTATCATCAGTTCTTATTTCTTTTAAACTATTAAATTAAATATTAACCTCCCTGCTTCCCTCATTTTTTTTAATTTATTGATTTATTTTTTATTTGGAACATCTATCGTTTGCCTCTCACATGCCCCTAATTGGGGACCTGACCCGCAACCCAGGCATGTGCTCTGACTGGGAATGGAACTGGAGACCTTTTGGTTTGCAGGTGGTTGCCCAATCCACTGAGACACATGAGCTGGAGCATGCTTCCCTCATTTTTAAGGTGACCTTTCCCTCCTGCCATCTTTTAAGTGAAGGAGAACACTCGCTCTGGTCCTTTTTTTTTTTGGGGGGGGTGCACCTTGTGTGCTTAAAGGGTTTGTAAGTGTCACACTTTTTGCAATTACATGTCACTTTTAAAATTTTATTCTTCAATTAGTTTACATTCAGTATAATTTTGTATAAGCTTCAGGTATACTGCCTAGCATGAGCTCAAACAACTGAACTCTCTAAGCCTTTGTTTTCTCTTCCGCCTGAGCACACTGAGGGCAGGAGTGTTTTTCACATACAGTGCCTGGCACCCCAGAGAGACTTAGTGTTGGATGAAAGGGAAATAATAAAATACACATCATAAAAGTGCTTTTCCTTTTAAAAAAATCCTGATACAATATCACTTCCTTCCACATTTTAGTTCTACCTTTCTTTTTTAAATTTATTTATTTTTTAAGGAGAGGAGAAGGGAGGAAGGGAGAGCCCACAACCCAGGCATGTGCCCTGACCAGGAATCAAACCAGTGACCCTGGCTCACAGGCCAGTCCTGAATCCACTGAGCCCACCAGCCAGGGTTTACTTCTACCTTTATTTTCTGGTAATCACACTATGGTGCCTTGGGGGATACACTCTATCCTGGCCTTGCCCCTGAACAACTATGTGACCTTGGGGGCCTTGCTTTACTCCTATGTCTCAATTTCTTGTCTAAAATGAGGATTGTTTTGGATGGTGAAATGAATAACTCTCTTGGAATTGGGTTAGGCTCCTAGTGTTTGCCAAATGTTAACATCCTCATCATCTTTATCAAACAGGATTGTGGTACTCCCCTTTGAGGTTCTGAATTTTTTGTGAGATCATGCTCTAAGTATTGTTGGCAAAAACAAACAAAATCAGGAAACTCCTGCCGTGGAAGGGAGAAATAGGCGAGGAAAGTGAATTCGTGACTCCGTGCGTTTCTGAGCTGGGAAGGATTGGTTGGGTCCGAATGGCAGAAGAGGAAGTGGAAGGGTAACGTGTCCTGGAGTCTCATTCAAGACACACTGCATAGCTGTTTCCAGAGTTGGACCACGACCCTAGGGATTGCTATAACAAGTTGCAGGAGAGGACTAACACTTTTAGAAGGCAGAGAGGAGCATTTTGTTACAAAAACGGTCAACAAATTAGGGTGTAACTAAGTTCACCCCCTGAGTAAATACATCAAATTAGCTGTCAGAGCCGGTGAAACCGAATAGGTAACCAATTGGCTTAGCCTTGTTTACCAACAGGGCCTTTCTACGGAGCCCACTGACAGAGGGCTTCTTATTAATAAAGGTCCCGGGCGCTTCCCTCGGACCGGAAAGCTCCGGGAAGCACGCGGACGCCGCTATGAATGGAAACCGGAGTCTGCGGCTCAGGGCGTTGTGGGGCGGAGCCGCCGAGGGGCGGGGGACGGGGCGGGGCATTGTGATCACATCCCTTCCCTGTGAGGCTGACCGCGTGGAGCGAGCTCTGGGCCTGATTGGTTGCTCCTAACCAGGTGACCTGAGCACTCGTTCCGGTTGGCTGCTGGCATACAGGACAACGGCTTTCAGTTAAGAGGCGGTTGCGAGAGGAGGTGGGGCTTCGGCTGCGCTCTCTTCCCGCAGTGGTTGTAGCTTTCAGCGCTAGTCTGGTCCCCACCCCTTTTAAATAAGTCGGGCTGGGCGCAGCCCTCGCAGACTGGGCAACTCGAGGGAGGCGGTAGCAGTGCTACGGCAAGGGGTGCGGCCGGGCCCGGAGCCCTGCCCGGGGCCCGGCAGCCCTGCGGGCGTGCGAACAGCGGCGGAGGCCAAGCCTGTTTGTGCGGCGCAGCCCCGGGGGCTGCTCGTGCCGGCCGCGCCATTGTTGGGGGAGGGGGCATTACCCAGCGCAGCGGAGTCGGAGGTGGGGGCAGGAGTCCGGGGTGAGCAAACGCAGCGACATAGGCGAAGAGTGTAGGCACCTCATGGGGAACACGCTGACCTGTTGCGTGAAGCCCAGTGCCAGCCCCAAGCTGAGCCGGCGCTCGGAGCCGGCAGAGCCGGACTACGAGTCTGAGATCTATGAGGCGGCGGCTGGGGACGCGGTGGCGGTAGCACCTTCGCCCGCTGCCGTGGACCCCGCAGAGTTGGATTTTGGAACCGGCGAGGGCCACCACCTGCAGCACATAAGTGACCGGGAGATGCCGGACGGTAAGGAGGCGGCAGCAGGCGGGAGATCTTGGGAATACCTCTGGCCTCCGCCATCCCCTGGGTCCCCCGGGAGAGAGCCACCGCCTCGGGCTCCTTCCTGCCCGGAGCTGGCCTTCCCGGGGCTGGGCACCGGGGAGGAAGGCTGGTTCTGCCGAGCGTCCCCACCCCTTATTCTTTCCTCATCCCGTCCGGCCAGTTTCTTTCCCTCTTCACTACCAAACGCTCAGTTCTTTCCCCTATCCCCATTTCTCAACCCAGGCTGAGACCCTGCGCCCTACCTGTTTCAGCCTCTATTTAGCGTCTTATGGGACGTTATAAAGACTTTTGGTATATTGTGTCATTGAGAACTTTAATACCCCAGCCTTGGAGTATTCATCGACCTCCTTATCTTGAATTATCCAGATGGTGCCTGAAGGAGTCAGGTAAGGGCCTGTGATACCCTTGCCTCCCACCCATTCAGGTAGTTGCTACTGGGGGTAACTCAGACGCAAACATTTTAGAATTTGTTATTTGAGTTCAAAATAGAGACTGGCATATAAGAGTCTACATGGTGTTTTTAAGTAGGTAGTTTTCAGTTGGATAGAAGCTGCTTTATTCCTTCCTACTATAATTTGAACAAGAAGGAAAGAAAATGTGGGAAAGAGAACTTAAAATAGCTGAACGACGTGAAAGGTTACTGCCAGCGCTGTGGAGTATAGGTCCTGCCCCGCCCCCCGCAAAGGAGAATTCACAGAGTTCTGATTACTTTAAAATTCCCGCTTGGACACAAGTATGTCTTGTCTTGCTTCAGTATCCTAACAGACTTTGACTTTGCCTGTTCCAAAGGAGAGGTGGGGTGGTTCATGGGACTTGGTCAAAAGTTTCAAAAGAGAACACGGACATAAACTTAGACTTTAATTTGTAATATAAAGGTTTGGGATCAAGATATCAGATCCTGCACAAGAATGTTTGTCTCCACGGCTCCCTCTGCTTCCTCTCCCCTCCTGCCCTTAGAATCCTGTTCAGCTTTAAGAATGTTGAGTGCAAGTTCTGAAGACCAAAAGGCTGGGACGGGGGTGGGGCGGGGGAGGGGGGAGGGGCCGTGATGGGCGGGATTGGGGAGGAAGGGTAGAAGAGATGAAATGTTTGATTTAAAATAATTCTGGGTAGCAACTTGGCCAATGAAGACTGTTCTCTGAGTAGAAAATGTTTCATAAAGATGTTATAGGCCCATTGGCCCATTCGTTTCATTAAAATGCCAGACATTTTTTCACCAAGAAAATAGTAGTTCTTGTTCTATTTAAACTTCCATTGAGCTCTTAATTTCTTTAAAAGTTAAAATAATTAAGCCTGTGGATTCACCCAGATGGTGGACATGACTTTTTAACTGCAAAGTGCTTCCTTTTCAGAATATTCTAATATCGTGAACCAAAGGAATAAATTAGGTGAATTAGTTGTACCATTAAACACAAAGCAAGTAAATACTTGTGAAAACTTCTGCTCTGCTTAGTGCTATATGGTCAACCTCCGAGTGATTTTACAAACCAGTTAGTTGGTGGGTCCTGGTGGATGAGAGACCAAAATAGGTCCTTTATATTTTCTTTTAAGATTTACAGCACATTTCCAGGTATATCTCAATTGGCCCTTGTAACTACACAAAGGTCCATGTACATTCTCCCTATATTGCCAATGAAGAAACAGTGACTTAGATCGCCAAAATGACTGTGACACAGCTGTTGAACAGAACAGACTGCCGTGGAGGTGATAGGTGTTCCAAATCGAGTTCTCGTGGTGCTTATACTCTTCAGCATGCAGTTCGTATTTTATAATTTCTCCATAAAGTGAGCCTCTTACTCCAGTGTTGATGATTTCCATTCAAAAAGAAGCAGCACTTACCTCTCCATCCTGTATTCTAAATTCCTTATGAAGAATAAGAAAGTAGAGGTCATGATATAGCATGAATCTACCTCGTAAACGAGTTGAAATATTTTAAAGCATTTATTCTGATGACTTCAAAGTGAAGCCAAGAATGCCCCGGACAGAGGGACTTTCAGAGAAGCTGGTGAGAGGGCAGGTAAGGTACTGAGGATAAGCATAGGACTGTGATGCGGAGTGTTAAATCAGAAGACCTGGCAGAAAGTGTGTGTGTGAGCAAAGAATTTACCTTTTTATGTTTAACATGATAGTTAAAATTCCATTTCAAGGAACTTTTTAATTTTGGGGGGATTCAATAAAGTGATACAAGAAACTCAGTTTCAATATTTGCTGTAAGTTTCCATAGAAACAGGTCAGAAGCCCAAATATAAAGTACCCCATGGAAAGTTTGCTTTCATTGTCTTTATTTCAGTCAATTTTTATATCAGTTTCCCGAGAAACTAAGAAATACCCACTTAGATGTAAAACATTCTGGCCTTTCTACAATGGAGAATTGAATTATTTGGATACTTACACAAAATTATAAATGAATGATGCTCTGAAACAGAAGAATATGATTTTTTCAAGTCATTTCAAAGATATTCCTAAGAACCTAGTATGGATTTCAGGTAGACTTAAATTTTTTCTACTACCTTGCCTTTATGTAGCAGTATATCTAATAAAACCAATGGTAGTATCAGTAACAAAAAAAAGACACTAAGGTTCTGTTATCCAATTTTATTATTACTCATCAACTTTTCATACAGCCTTTTACGTTCTTACCTTATGAGCTTTGCTAATGTGTTGGCTAACGGTGCCCTCTCCAGTGGCCCCTTCCTCCCCCTTCCCCATGATAAGTGAATGGAGAAGGAATTGGCAATATTAGGTGGAGAAGCCTCTGAGCAACAGACCTTTCCTCTTTCCAGTAGCTATTTTAATCCCTCCTTTCTTCTGTTGTTTTTTTTTTTTGGGGGGGGGGTGGGTACGGTAGTGACAGTATAAATAAGCATTTGAAGTCATTCACTTACACTCAGAATATCCAGAACTCTTATTAATATTTTGGTGTTGATTTTTCCTGAACCTTCTTTATGCATATAAACATAGTATTTTGTTATTCTACAAAGATGGTCACTCTTCATGTGCTGCTTTGTAACTTTTTGTTATAAAGAGAAGTAGCGACATGAAACTCCTGGAACTATGCTTGTCAGCTAGAGAACTTTCCAGGATGTATTTTCATGCAACTGCCAGGGCTTTACTACACACCTTTTAATAACTGTCCAGCATATCATCAGATGGTTGGAGCATGATTCATTCACCCACCCTGTATGATTGGTCACCTTTTAAAAGTGAAACTACACAATCCCATTATAATGCTTTATCCTGGGGTCATAGATAAAACTGGATGCATTATACCTCCTTGTAGAATTCAGATGGTATACTTTCTTATAACTTAATTAGGATGTCATTTTGTAGTTAAGGTATTTTAACATTAAATGTTCTTAATCCCAAATTAAAGTCACCATTCGTTTCTCACTGGATTCTTAGGTGTTCGTAGTTCTTGTGTCTTTAGTTCTGATAACTACTGTGCTAAGATCTGAAAGTAATGCTGATCTTAGATGATAAAAGAAAAGATAGCATTAGATGAAACCTTAGAAGGTATAGAACAATTGGGAGAAACTTAACTGGCTTTGGTGCACTGAAATTGTTAGATGTCTGTCGGTCACCATTACAAATGCTGGACAAACTGACGTACAAGACAAAGCCTCTGCCCTAATTCGGGGCAGTTAGGGCAGAGGAGCCTTAGGGGAGACAACCCAAGAACAAGAAAGTCTGAATGGTGTGAGACAGCTGCTCTTCTTAAGTGACTGCCATTGAGAGGGAGCCATGTGAGGATGTGGGAGTGGAGACTTCCTTGCAGAGTTCTTCAGATGGGAGCGTGCTGAGCGCAGGCAAAGGACAGAAGGGCATGGGGACGGCTTCAGCAGTGGGAAAGGGGTGCCAGGAGGAACGTGGTGGATGAAGACCTTGTATGCCTAGTGCACCTTGAAAAAAATATGAATTTTAATGTAGTTGTAATGGGAAGCCCCTGGAGGATTATATGCAGGGAAATGATGTCAATTTTAGAAAAGGAGGGCGGGGCAGAGAAAGGAAGAGCTACTGTGTGATAATAGGGTGGAAGCAGGGAGACCAGGTAAGAGCCAACAGTGGCTTGAACAACAACAACGAAAAACATGAAGGGCCTAAGTAGGCTGACCTAAAGAAATGAAGTGAATCTAACAGTAGTAACAAAGATATGAATGGACACGTCACAGAAAAAGAATTGCAAATTACATTTTACAATGTAATTCACACACAAGAAATGCAAGTAAAACTATACCTAGTTTCTGTCCTATTGAAAGAATATCCATAAACTTGGCACTGCGTTCTTTGATAAGGCTGTGAAAAGACAGTTACCTTCACACATTGCTGACGGACTTGCAGAATGGTTCGACTGCAAGAAGGGAACGTGGGCATAATCTCACAACAATGCAGATGCATAAGTCAAAGTCCTACTTTGAGGAATTTATCCTGAAGACATGTTCCACCAGTATGAAACCACATAGTCGCAGAGTTTTTGTTGCATTATTTTCAAAAGAAAAATATTGGGGAAAACCCATGTCCAGTCAAGGTCTGGTGTAATAAAATAAACTAGTATGTCCACCCAGTAGAGAACTAGGGAGCTATAAAAAAGAATAAGATCTCTTTTTACTGCTCTGTGGTAATTTCTAGGTTAAGTTACATGGGAAATGGAAGGAGAAGACATATAGTAACTATATGACAGAAGCAGGGAAAATATGTGTTTGCTTATTTAAAAAAAAACCACTGGGAGAGATTGTTGCTAATTGTGTGACTGTTATTCCTCCCCTTTAGTGGGTAGCCAGAGCACATACTTACTTAAGATAATGTTTGGGTGTGGGCGACACGGGAACCTGCCTTACACTTTCCAGTTCGATGCTAAACGCTCATTTTGCCTTCGAGTTAATTCGTGAAGACTTTGTTTTGTCGTTTACTGTGCTCTATATATATGTTATATAGATTGCTGTTGCATTTCATTCGATTCTAACAACATGTTGGGGTAGGTGGTATAGGCAGTATATGTGTTTTACATGTGAGAAGACAGGCTGTCAGTGGTATAAATTGGAGTTACCCAGGGTTTGGAAAATGCGGCTGATAGAGCGGGAATGTGAATTCCAGGAACCTGATACACGGGGATTGAATTTGTAGAATGACACATCATGTGAGCATGTCAGTAACAACACTACTTTTTTTCTCACCCCCCCTTTTTTAGTGTATTAAAGGAGTTTAAGCTTCAGGGTTAAAACAGTAACATTGCATTATTCAAAATGAAATTGAGGTAAATTGCAACTCAAAAATGTTCTTAAAATCTGAGACACTAAGCAAAGTACTTTTTAGAAATGCATAAAGAAAGGTGTGCTTCTTTCTATGAAGTGTCACATAGTAGTCACAGTCACTAAAACACGGATTGATGACTAAAACAAGGCAAGACTGAGAACCAAGGTCGAGGCAGCCGCAGAGGTAGTTTGGAGGCCAGAGTTAGATTGTCAGAGGCCAGGAAAACAGAAGCAAGGCTCAAGGAGCAGTAGACTGTGGGACTGAGGGTGTGCAATGTGCCCTCTGGGGACGCAGGCCAGGCCGGCTCAAGGTCGACGGGTGGAGCTACCTGACTGCGGTGAAAAGTGGACTCAGAGATAAAATCATCAGTGTACAGTTAGACCCTAAACTTTGTGTTAGGGCACATGAAACTAATTCAATATATAATAAATGCAGTGTATTGTGTAGGGATGATAGAGCAGTTCAGAAAATGAGGGAGCCTTAAGTATAAAAGGAGCCCAGTAGTTGGCCCACAAACTGCTGACATTTCTATTTAGTTGGAATATACCAGTGTCTTTCTGCAATATTCTGCTTCCAAATCTTGGCTATTGTAAGTAATGCTGCAGTGAACATAGGGGTGCATGTATTCTTTTGCATTAGTGTTTTGGGTTCCTTGAGATATATTCCTAGAATCGAGACCACTGGGTCTTAAGTTTCATTTTTAATTTTCTGAGGAACATCCACACTGTTTTCATAGCGGCTGCACCCGTCTGCGTTCCCACCAACAGTGCATGAGGGTTCCCCCTTCTCCACGTTCTCACCGGCACTCGTTTGTTTATTGATGAGAGCCTTTCTGACAGGTGTGAAGTTATATGGAGACTTTAAACAAAACATTATTTTGGCTCTTACAAATTTCTGTTTATGATATTTGCTAAGGGATGAGCAAATGGCTTTTACCTGTTCCCACCTGTAGTGTGATCGTCAATACTGTTGATTAACTAGGTCTAGGTTTCTTTTAGTTGCAAGGTAAAGAAAATCTATCTTGAAATAGCGTAACTTTTTTTTAGAAAAGTGTTGACTTGTAAAACCAGAGTTCACAAAATAAAAATCGGGGTACTCCTTGATCCAGAAATGAAATGATCTTCTTGGAACTTGTCTCAGTTCTGTACTCCTGTTGATCTCTCCTGAAAAGGTCCCAGGTGGCTGTGATTGATTGGCCAGCCCTGGGGCATGCGCCCACCCCAGAACCCTAGGTGTAGGGTAGGGTGGTTCCCACTTTTTCCCTTGTCACTTGGGCTGTTTTTGCTCTTTTGTATTTAGATCCATAGCAGTACATTTTGGTTTGGGGTGTGCACACACTTGTGTGCTTGTGTGTGTGCTTGTGTGTGTGTTCAAGCCTGCTGCTTCTCTGATTCCGGTACTTCTGGTACTTCTGGTAATATGGCTACTTCTGTAAACATTTTTGCTTATTTTTTAAGTTCAAATGCAGAATATTTGCTTTATTATTGGTAGGAAGTAGTCTTGAACCCTTTCAGAAGCCTAGGGTTAGAGGCAGCTGGGAAAATCTCTGTCACTTTGTGCACAGAGTGCAACTGAATTGATTTATTTTTCCAAATAGCTAATAGTGTCTCATTTTTAAATATGTGGAAAAACCTTTAGTCATTTTTATGGACCTTTTATATAAAAATATTGAATAGAATAGTTGCTCCAAAAGCAGTTTAATAAACTTGAAATTCAGTGAAGGAATTTCTTTAGAAAATACAGCAGTTAGTTGAGCTATATAAATTTCTAGTGCTGGCCGTGCCATTAAAGTGCATGATTCGGATTCCCGTTAAACCAGGAAGTCCCCAATTATGTTTTTGCAAGATTCTAACTGTATATGTGGAGGGGAAAAAGGACTCTAGGTAGATACCTTTTTGAAATCTGAGTTAGACATTACTCATCAGTAGACTGATTAGTTTTTAACACAGTCATGTGCATTTTGATTCTCTAAGAACCAGTGACATAGTGTATTTAGATTTCATCACCAAATGCCCTTTTAAAAAGTAGAACGGTTAATATGTGGTGTGGGAAATATTATCTTAACCATTCCTCTATTAGGATATTGGTCCACTTTTTTTACAAGATTGGTTAAGTGGTTTGAGATAGACAGTACTGAGGCATATCATAGGGTTCTTTTGTTTGTTTGTTTGTTTGTTTGTTTGTTTGTTTGTTTGTTTGTTTTGAAGACAACTTTATTATTTGTATGGTGGCAAACTTTGTTTTCAAATACCTGTTTTGTATTCTTGCTGAAATAGTTTATCCCACCTTAGTGCAAGGTGGACTGCAGGCAGACCTACTTTTACGCAGGTGTAGCAAAAATATTTTTCAAGTAGCCCTATGATCATCTCCAGAAAGTATTCTTATTGAAGCCTCAAAATAATCATGTGGCATAGAAGGAAGAAGTGAGACTAGCTTTGGAAATTGGGGGCAAAAGTTAAAAATTATTTCTATGAAAGACTTAAAGATCACTATCATTAATGTTCCTATAGACTAGGACATTGAGCTTTTATGCTATCCTGTGAAATCTGCCTCAGTGAGTAGCCCCCAAGTAAACCACAGCTAACTACGTGAGTTCATCTGTTGAACAGAGTTAGAGTTAGCCTAAAGGTCTAAAGACTATTTGCCAAAACCAACCCACTTGGTTTTGGCATATTTAATACATCAGTTGGTATCTGACAGTAATACTGGCTACTGCATAACTTGCGTCTTGAGACTGTTGCTGGGATGTGCTAGTAAATCAGCAGAAAGGAGGGTGACTGTGTAGTTTTAACTGATAAATAGAAGTGGGAAAACACATATATAATTCACCTAAAAGTTGACTAGATTATTTAGGTGCAAGTTAAAAAAAGAAGTCTAAGACATAGCCTGCTTTTATTCCATGTATACAGAGAGATTCTACAGTTTTGCATTTTTCCAGTAGAATTTTTATATTGTTGCCTTTACCAAAATTGGCTTGGTATCATTGCTTAAAACTCTTCCCAATACTGTTAAAATTTATTAAAATTGATGTGTGTGTAGCTGTTTTAAAAATCTTACGTTTTTTCTACTCAACTAAGTTATTACATACCCTCTTTCTCTTCTTATCCAGAGTTAGCTGTGGAATCAAACCCTTCTGACCATCCGAGGGCGAGCACAATTTTCCTGAACAAATCTCAAACGGATGGTAAGACAGTATTTTATTTCCTCTGAGAAGATTTAAAACCATTTTGTTTCCTATATTATAGGAAGTATTTAGAAGAACTCATACATTGGTTTAAATGTTTCACTTTTTCGTGCATCTACTTGTTTAATTTTAGTGTGTGATGACAGGTACACTTGCCTTTAGTTGTCACTGTGTCGGTGAGAACAGGTAGACTGTGTGTTCACACACGTCGCACCTCCTTACCGTACCGTCAGTCGGCCACGTGATTTAGGTGTGCTCTCTTTCTCCAAACTGTGTCCTTTCCCCTCGCTCCCAAGAGCACACGTTTTAAGGATGAATGATAGGATTTAGTCACAGTTAGGATTTCATTTGAACAAATAAAAAAAATCAGTTTATATATGATGGTTGAATTTATGATTTTGGCCCCATTTAACATAGCGCTCAACCAAATGATTCTGTCTCACATCCAGATTTGTACTCAGAACTTTCAAACTATTCAAAACTTTCTCACTCCGATGTGATGCTCTTCACACCGGAGTGAACACGTCCCCAGTAGAGTTTCCCAGAAGGTTAGCCTCAGCATGTGTCCTGTTGGCCTCAGGGTAGGAGTCAGAACTGCAAGATTTTAACACTTCTGCTTGCTTAGTTATTTTCGTTAGTTATGTTGAATCTAGTTTACTTGCTTAAAAAGCCACACATGATCAAGTTTTTCAGTTGATTATGGCAGCAGAACCACAAGAAGTGAGGATGCCATAATGTTTGAAGTGGTGCAGCACAATAAAAAATGGGGCTTCTCATCTGCCTTTTCACAGTGTGTGTATTTTGCCTGTCTTGAGCTGTCCATTTTTGGTTAGAATCGCTCTGCTTCTCAGTTTTCCCCAGAGCCATGGGCTGCTCACATGCAGAGAGAGTGGAGACAGAGCAGGGGAAACTTGCCCGTGCCCCTCTGTCTGGTCCTAAGGCACACGCGCCTCTGATCCTGTCCTCCGTGGAGGAGGCGGTGTGGGAAACAGGGCCAAGGCCTCCTCACAGTTTTTATTCTTCTTCCCGCCTTCGTGAGGGCGAGTCGATTTTTGTGTGTTGTAGAGATGTTCAGTTAGGTTAGGACATTCATTTTACAATTAAATAGGTTACTTTCCAAATGAATGAAGACCCATTTATTTCTTCAGCAAGGTGTTTTCATTGATTACTAATAAGTAGTTCAGGATATTTCCAGGGGTGGTGGTGCGTGGAGGGGTTAGTGCCCGGCCAGAAACTGGCTCTGAGAGCTGTCAGCTCTCAGATCCCCGTGATTCAAGGAAGGTGGGTATAAATGCAGAATGAGAAATGAGCACTGGGTACTCAGGATGCAACAGGTACAGTGTGTTGGCTCAGGTTCTCACCTGGCCTCATTCCTTTGCCCTTATCTTCTGTACCTGGAGAGTTTCATTTGTACCTGATACAGAGTATCTGTTAGGTCAAAAGTAGAACTGTGTGTTTAGCTCTGCTTGATGGGACTAATCTTGCCAGGTGATTTAAATTATAAATTTTGTTGGAACTTATTTTTAAAATGGAATGGAATTTTGTCTCATTTTGTATGTTGGTAATCTGTCAGATAATCAGCAACTTTTATTTTTCTATGGCATTTGTATCAGAATTGATGAGTTAATTTTTTTTATTCTCAGTGCGAGAAAAGAGGAAGAACAACTATGTAAACCATGTAAGTAAACAGTTGAAAAGTTAAGTAAGAAATTAATAGTTTGAATTAAAAGTTGTCTGCCATGATTCCTGAAAAATATAACGGGCTCAGTACTGTTAGCATAGACATCTTTTTGTAGATTTTCTGAATCTCCTTTGTTTTTCTAATTGTCAGACAAACTCATGAATTCAGGAAAGTCTTTGGCTTAGTAATGCTTTTTGTTAAAGGGTTCTGATATTTAAGTTAAGTAACATGATTGTGGTGTAAAGATCTGCCTCAATTTTAAAACCTTACTATTTTCTTAAAAATAACAGAAGTGTAGTGGCTAAGTTAATTTTCAGCACTATTTATTGACTTCCTGTCATAGCAGGTGAAAGTTTAGCTTTCTTATTCTGTCGTGTGGTCTTATTTCCCTCCCGCTGCTCTCTCAACACATGACACAGTTTTCAGAAAATCAGAGTCACTGTTTACACTGTTATGACCATGCAAATATTTTTCACTGCCAAGCCATTGAGTTCTCTGGCTGTGCTGTTTCTTTGTGCAACCCTCATTCTTTTTCTCAAATGTAACTGAAATCTGAGCACTTCTACACTTTTCCAGGATAATACAGTCCCCCTCTTGCCATGATCTCACATAGCCAAGTGCAATAAGCAGCCTGGTCTTCCTGATTTAAAATAATAATAATAATAATTTGTACCTATCAATCTAGTAATTTGACAGTAGAAAGATGATTACCAAATACTATATTTATACCACAGTAACTTAGTAATTCTTCATTTCTGTGTATGTGCAGTTAATTCCCTGGTTATATTCTTTTGCCTGTTTCCTAACAGCTATTTTCCCCCAAATGTTGTAACATTTGTCACATGCCTATCAAAAATATTTTCTGTCTACTAAACACATTTGTTCCATTTTTTCTTGGAAACAACCTTGCTCAGTTTTTTCTCGTCCTACTCTAGTGTGTAGACTGGTTTTCCCGGGGCCTGCTCTGTGCCTGTCTTCCTGGCGTATTCCCTCTCTGAAGTCATCTAGGAGCTCACGTAACTGCTTTCTCGCGTTGGATCCCCTGTGTTCTAGATTCTGCTTCCCCGTCTTGTTATACTCCCTTGTTTTACTGGAGCGCGTTTCCCCAGGAAAGGGTTCCTGTGTGGAAGTTTTTAGAGACCTAGCCTCGGAAGTGCCTCCTGTTTGATAAAGTGTAGAATTCTCAGATGAAACGAATTTTTACAGTTCAGAAGACATTTTTACTGTTTTCTCATTTACAACATTGCTCTTAAATCTGTTGACATTGTGTGATACATCGTACGTTACCAATTTTAGTCATTCTTCCCCATCCCTTCCTCTCTGGAAGCCTCTCTTTTAGTACCTTCTCTATCCCTGGGATTCTGAAATTCATGGTATGGTTTGGTCTGTACCTTCTTACTTTTTGCGGCCATTAAGTCTGTGGATCTTCTGTCATTTCGGTGAATTTTTAAAAAATACTTTCTCTATTCCTTTTTTCTAGTATTTGTATTACTCAGAATACTGGAACTAGTATTTTTTCACCATTTGCTAATGTTTTTGCCTCTTCCATTTCATCTAAAAGGAAATCTGTATTTCTTAAGAGATTTGCTTGAGTTTGTGTTCCAGTCTTCCTATTGAATTCTTTGTTTTGTCTATCTTGTTTTTAATTTTTGTCTATCTTGTTTTTAATTTGTAGCGTTCTTTTTTATTCTGCTATTCCTTTAAAATAGCATTCAGTTTTTTCACCAATGCACATTATTGCCTTTTTTGAGGTTAAGGATTATTTTTTTAAAGTTCCCATGTGCTCCTCCTGAATTTTATCACTCCCATTAATTTCCTCCTTCCCATTTTAATCTCTTTTACTTGTTGGCTTTCCTCAGATGTGTGATGCTCCCTGGCTCTATCTTAAGATCTGATTGGACGCACCAGGAATGAGCAGGACTTGTGTTAACTGATAGGCCTCATTGGAGGATTTGGGGGTCAAGCCTCTGAATGCTGAACCTGCCTTTGATTCTGTTGGATAACTGGCTTTCCTGTTCTTGTCCCAGCCACGCCTGTAGGCTCCAAGTTTGTGCTTCCTCTGTTCTGCTGTGTCACCTGCCAGTTCTTTATCTAGTCTTCAGCTTTCAGACATTAAAAATTACCTGCTGTTTGTCCTATATTGTGTCTCACCTTTTCTTCTTTTTGCCTTTAATTCTAATAAGGTATCTCTGAAAGAAAAGGGAGAAGAAAATGGATTTGTAGTCAGTCCCACCATGTTTCATTTAAATTTAGAACCTGTATTTAAAGTGGAAATCTAAGTTTAAAGTTTTAACTCAATGTAATTAATGCCATTAATTCAGAGAATATTTTTGGCTATACCTATAATTAGCACAGTACACTTTTCTGCCAGAGCCTTAATTAAGAATTCTATTCAAACTGCTCATCCTGCCGTATTTGTCCCATTAATGTGCAACATAGGTGCATTGGTTTTCATTAATGCATAAAGTGTTAGAAAATTTTAGGTTAATTAAGTCATTAATTCTCAATATTCAAAACTTGTGGAAAAGTAGAGAGATAAAAAGTAAACTTCAGCTTTTTTAATGGGTTAAAATGAGGCAGTAGGCACCATGTGTGGGGGCAGAATTTCAACAGGTACTTGACCTTTGATAGGAGTAAGGTTTGGGTTGTGACTTGTTAGACTTTTAGGTATGATTATTGTTCTGGTCTTGAACCTTAAGTCTGCTAGGCAACTCCTTCCCTTGTGAAGATTGGAAAAGTCCATCTAGTATGTCATTAGTGCTGAATGAATGGAGATAAAGTATGATTCTTTGTCCCTGTGAATTCTGTGACCAACTTTAATAATACCTAAGAACACTAAGTGTCAATAGTATTTTGGTGGTTTAATTTTTTTGTATTTGTGTTTCACATCTTTATGTTTTCCAGTGTAGCCAGCAATAGTAAGTAAGACATTCACCATAAGGAACTTTTGTCTTCAATTTTCAAGCAAGGCAAGGGGTAATTAACCTGATGGTGGCCAATATATATCTGGGCTTTGCAGAAGCTTAATTCTGCCTCTAGTGATTACCAGATACTCGAACTGAGAATTTGACCAGTAGGGAGTAGGCCTGGACTGCTGAGGAAGTTTTCAGTGTTTCTGATTTACTAAATGAGCCCCCATTGGGTTGTAAGTCCATGTCTCATTACACATTCAAAAAGTTTTAGCACTAATATTCAAAGATAAACCAATATATACTTAAAATAGAAAAAAATTAGGTAGAGGATAATGGGAGCAGATATCACCCAAAGCTTTATCAACTGTATTTTAGTGTATTTTTCCCTATTCTTTATACTCCCCCAATATATAGGTTTTTGATCATAATTGACTTTATTATGGTATATTATATACCATATTACACCTTAATAGTAGTGATCTTACAATATAATCTTCCATTTGAGTGAATTTTCATTTTTTATGCCTTATGTTGTTGTTGAGTTTTTTGTTTTTTCATTTTGAGATCCAAAAAATAAATTACATGTTAACTCCATAGCTTAAGGAACATAAGAGAGTCTTAGCTATAGCTAAAACATTTCTTACTTAAAGGACAACTTTCCCCCAAATTGTGGTACTTTTTAAGAATACGCTGTCTGGAACTTTTCGTTTGTAAGGAATAAATACCTTTGCAGTAAAACACCTGAAACAGGTGAAATGGTGTTTTGTAGATATTTCTCAATACTGTTTACTGGCAGTTTTTAAAATGCTCTGTATTTTAAGATGCATCCACTAGATTTTCTTTCTGCCTCATTTTTTGTATGATTGTGGGGATACTAATGGGAAAGTATGACAGTGTGAAGACAATTATTTTACGTTAATATGAGAAAGGAAGGAAGGAAGGAAGGAAGGAAGGAAGGAAGGAAGGAAGGAAGGAAGGAAGGAAGGCAGGCTCATCTGAATTCGTTTTGAAAAGTACAACAAAACCAAGCATATTAAAATTTTTGTACTCTCTAATATTAAAAATGCTGCTGTTACTTTCAACTACTTACAGTGACTGGGATTAGGCATTGGCCTTACTTTAAGGAAGAAAATTGACCTAACAGGCTAGGCTATTTCAGTATTTGATTATTGTTTTATTGTTGGGCTTTTTACAAATCAGTGGATACTTCTAAAGTGTTTTAAAGATAGTTTATTTTTTAGAGGGTCTCAAAAAGTTCATTGTCACCTCTCCACTGCAGATATACATTCTAATTAGTATCTGTAGTAAGATTTACCTTCCAGTTGTAGTTAATTTTAAATAATTTGTCAACCACTAGGTGCACTCCTAATTTGTCCCAGATTCTGTGCTCAGCAGCTGGATGGAGGTAGGGAAAAAGTCCTCCTTTCCCTAGAGAAGCTCTAGGTTTTTTGATTTTTTTTCATCCTCATCTGAGGATGTGTTTATTGATTTTGAGAGAGTGGAAGCAGAAGAGGGGAGGGGGAGAAACAGAGAGAGGAAGGAAGCAAGCAAGCAAAGGTGGGAGGGAGGGAGACAGGTAAGTAGATAGATACATCGATGTGAGAACCATCCATTGGTTGCCTCCAATGTGCTCTGACCAGGAATCAAACCCACAGTCTTTTGGTGTATGGGACAATACTCCAACCAACTGAACCACCCAGCCAGGCCAAGAAACTTACTTTTTTATGAGGGGGGCTTCCCCCGTAAGCAATTGATGCCATGTAATAAGTGGTAACCTAGATGCCTGAGTATACACAAAGAGGGACGTTTTGTAGTGTGGTTACTGGCAGAGGCACCCTGGAGGTGGATGAGGAGTGGGGTGGGAGGTAAGTTTGTTGGGACAGGAGGAAGAAAAGGCACTGTCGGCCCAGGAGCAGCATGAGTGAGGCAGGGATGTGGTAAGTGTCAAATAACTTAAGAGAATTGAGTTAATGACATTTAGAAGTGAATGGACACTATCCTTTGAGGTTCTCACTTGAGTAATGTAATGAAAGTCTTACTTAAACATGCAATGAGAATTAAATTCTCAAAGTTGTTTTATTTGTTTTCTTTGGATGTGAGAGAATCTTAAAACAATACTCTTTTATCCTCCAGATAAGGAGCCTGAGACCCAGAGAGACCCTGACTCCCTAGCTTGGTGTAGCAAATGGGCAGCGTTGGTGCACACTCACCTTTGACTGACGTGTGCTTTGTCACACTGTCTCCTGAACTAATAATTAGTATCGGCTTTCATTTACTGCGATAAAATGTTCTTGCTTCAATATTCTGTAGGGTGTTATGTTTTGTTGTAGTAAATGAATAGTAGAAATAGAAAATTTTAGCTGCTTTTCATTGCTTGAGACAAAATCACTGAAATCTTACTCTAAACATTTTACAGCATTATAAAGGGAATGTCTAAGTATCTGCCAGGTTATAGGTACTATGTCAAGGGAAGAATTTTATAATCCATTCCTCCAATCTCGTCTGTGGAAGTTATGAGTCTCCACCTAATGGTTATCCCATAGAGCTGCACGTGATATCACACTCAGGCAGTTCATGAAGTATAAGAAAAATCTTAATGCTTAATTGTTTGACATTTTAACCAAGGAAAAAGCACACTTTTACAGGTTTAACTTACTGTGACATTTTCTTCTATTTCCCTTCCCCTTTAGGTATCTCCAGGGCACCTTACTAAAAAATATAGCTCATGCTCAACAATATTTCTAGATGACAGCACAGTCAGCCAGCCTAATCTTAGAACCACAATACAATGGTGAGTACAACTAGGTTGCCAAGGGCTGAGTGACAGACCCCTTATGCTGAAGGCATCCTAGCCATATATAATTTCAGTCATTTGATTGTCCTTTTCAGTGATCAGGTTAAGAAAGCAATGCCAATTACATGTTGTTTTCAAGAACCTAAATAACGATTTCTATTTTTTGGTAGAGTTTTTGATTTCTATTTTAATATTAGAGTGGATGGAAGAGGGGAAAGCCAGTTAGCAAATAAGAAATCCCAGAAAAAGTACTTCTCTTTATTTGATGCATTTCTGTTGGTAAGATATTGTTGAATAATAATAAAAAGGAGAGGTGCTTTCTATTGGATGTTTTTAGAAAAAAAGTATTTATGAGATAAAGGCCTAAAACAATGTATATGTACTATTTTGGAAGCTACTCTTGGAAGAAGCAGCAGCTTGTCCCCTACTGCCACCAGAATGTATGTGCCTTTACATTTGATTAGATTTTGTCAGGTTGTTTCCATCATACATTTTTCCCCACACTATTTCTGTGTAAAAATTCACTTCTTCCTATCACCCAAAGAGGGAGAAAATACATCAAACCAGTCTTAAGGAATAACTTTTTAAACTAATTTCTATGTGGATATAATTTGTTGAACTATTTTCATAGATATATGAAATTTAATTTTACATGTGTATAAATATATAAATATCCAAAAATACTATCTAAATCCATATATAAGAAAATCACAGCAGAAAAAAATGAGAAAGATGAAGTTTTGGAATTACAGCCATGGTCAATTTTATTCTTAAGCAGACACGAACAGTGTGTTATGATGATGGAAACTCGTCATTAATTTCTGGAAGCACCACCTAGTCCACAATTGGAGATGCACTTTAAAAATACCCTAATATGAACTTTTCAAGCATACTTAAAAGAGAAAAAAACAGAACAGGATATAGAGATTTCATGCTCCCACTGGGGTTGTCCAAGGAACATTATCAGTGTCTCTTTCGAATATGTGTGGTAATTTTCCAGAACACAATTTGGGAGATGCTGTCTGAAAATATTAATAGCCTCATCCTTGATTTTATTTTTCAGTCTTAAAAACACTATAAGCTTATAAACTTAATTTTGTTCTAATATACCAGATTTTTTTGCTAATTAAAGTATCAGTAACTTTTATTTCAATTAAAAATAGCATGTTCACAATCATAATCATGTGTCTTTCTTCTCTTATGACAATAGTTAAGATCAAATTGTGTTTCAGCAAAAACTGAGCCTTGTCTCTTTCTAAAGTTCCAAGCTGTGAAAAAATCACTGAGCATTTTTATTCAGCCAAGACATTAAATCTATGAGTAAAAAAACCCACTCGACTTTGGCTACATTCTGTAGCTTTTTTTGAATTCAAAAGATTCTGATGTTACAGTGTATAATTCAAAAGTAGTTTTAAAGATTAACCTTTCTCAGACAAGTAAGTTTCATGCTTATTTCTCCAAATTAGTCTAATTCTTGGAAGTTTGGTTTTAATTTGTTCTCATTAAGTTTTGAAGATGGTCATTCAGTACATTAACTGTTGGTGAAATAAAAGCTTACTGAGAAAATTAATAGAGCTAATTGGCTTTTAGGGATGATTTTGAAAAATGTTGATAATGGGGCAGTAGTACATTGTTTTCAGTGGGGTGGGTGAGCCTTATTAGAATCACTTACGCAACTCTTTTCAAGATCTTCCCAGTGCCATTTAAATCAGAACATCTAGAGGGAGAAGCCAGGCAGTTTTTAAGGCTCCTGGCGATTCCAGTGTACAGCTAAGCTTGGGAACCACTGTCTGATCAGAGCGTAGGAGAAAGAACTGCCGCTTACTACGGGTGGGACCTTGAGCAAGTCCATTTGAAGCCCTGGTTCCCTTATCTGTAAAATGGGTTGTTGAATTAAACCTTATCGAAGGTTCAGTGGTCATTTTCATCCTTGAGGTTTTATGCTTTGAAGTCTGTGATTTGAAAATCAATTTGAAGATGAAACTATTTGAAGCACTATAGAAGTATCCATCTTTGATGCTAACAATGGTATAAGCCTTTTTACAAGTGCTAATATTCTAGGGGCTTAGTTATAAAATTCAGATTTGCCTTTCCTCAACTATTTGGAGCTTCATTTTAGACACTGGGGCAAAAGGAGAAGAATATGTACAATTTAACCAAGAGAACCCGTTTGTTGCCTAATGCACAACAACTTTGAGTAACTTAGGAATATAGTATTTTTCATGGTTTCTGAGGACTTAACATATCTGCTCATTAATATTTCACTTAGACTAATTTTGAAGTAATTTATTACATATTACACTATTATGCTACATCGTTAGCACTGCTTATTTCAGGATAGCTAGACCCGTTGATTTTGTGGGTTCTTATTGCTTTTAAATTTTCTGATAATTGTGTAGAAGTGATTTTAAATGATTTTATTTGGTATAGAGCACTTTCTTTACCTTTAGGAAAATGACAGGAAATGGGTGGGTAGGTGGATACTGAAATAGATCAACTGAAATAGATCAACCCTCACAACTTAAAAAAAAAAGCATAAAAACTATTCTATGGCTTAAATTTAAGCATGTGTACAAATAAAGATAACTTGTACAGGATAAAAGTTCTGTGAGTGGAAGGGTGAATGACAGAGGAAATATGTGATAACATATGTTATAATAATCAAGCAAACATGGCTTCTAACAGCATGTTGCTTAGCATTTTGGTTCCCCTATTTTTGCTAAAAGCCAAAGAACTAAGACAGGGGTGCAAGTATCCATATAATGCTGTTCTGAAAGAGGATGTCAAGGCCACTGGGCAGCTGGGAAGGTCTTCCCCCACTGTAAACCACTTTTAAAATATGTTTTCAGACATAACATATTAAAATCAATGTTACAATTTTTCTTTCCTCCACAGTGTGACCTTAGCGATATATTACCACATAAAGAACAGGTGAGTTTTAAAACCTGCCTTATTATTCTAGCTATTAAATTTATAAGATATGACGTTTAGTGTTAGGTAGTAACTGTAGACATTGAAGTAAGCCGTAGAGTGCTTTTATTACATTATTGAAGCCAGTCATTTGTTTCTGCCTTAGGACTCTTGTTACAGTGGATCCCAGTGAGTATTTGTTTGTATTAGAAATTAAAATTGAGAATTTAAAAAATAAGTCCCTTGTATGTTAAAACAGTTTTTATAGCACTCTTACAGTTTTGAATTAGATAATTCTCTGTGGCGGTGGATTGTGTTGTGCATCATAAGATATTTAGCAGCATCCCTGGCCTCTGCCCTGTGTTCACAAGGGCTGAGAGCACCCTCTCCTCACTGCATGTTGTGACGACAAACTTCTCTCCAGCCGTGGCGAGATGTCCCCTGGGGGACAAAAATCACCCATGACTGAGAACCATAGTATTAACATAATTTTTTATGAAAAATATTATTTTTCACAATAAAAAATTTGAGTGGAAAGTGTGTTTATTTACTTTTTTGCAAATCTCTGTAATATCATCCCTAATAGAAGACAGCTGATTCATTTCAGTCATTTGTTTTGAAGAAACAATATGAAATCCCAGTCTCCTGTAGCTATATATGACTGGAAAAAAGGTGTTTTCTAAAGCCTTTAGATAATTGTGGATATTCTTTGATACTATACCAAAAAGTGCACAACCGCTGGCTTCTTAAATGAGTTACAGTGGAATTTAAAATCATATCCATGAACTTACAGTAGGTACTCTGTTAAATTAATACCCATTGATCTATCTTGTATGCTTAATAGATCTTGTACATAATTTTGCAGGGATATTATACATCGGTCATTTGGGAAGTATTGGTTTACATTTCTTTATGAAGTGTTGGAAACTTGTTAGGATCACCACCAGTCTTATCAAAAAAGTGTTTTAAGTATTGAAAAGCTGTCAAGTTCACAAAAAGAAGTACAAGTTTTCCCAGATACCGATGTTTAGCTTGATAGCTTGAATTGTGTCATGGCAACAAATATACAAGTTTTTTTTAAAGTGACAGGCTTGCTTTTTGTTTTTGAGAGCATGACGTTATACTATCAGATAAAGATGTTATTCTATGGAAAAAAGTGCCTTCTTCAGCTCACAGTTAAGTCGAAGTGCTTTTCTGTAACACGGCTGCATCTCAGTGTGCAACAGCAATCTGCGTGCTTCCCACTTATTCTGAGTGTGAAAGGCAGGGGCAAGGTTTAACGACACTCAATTTTTACTGCTTTATCAAGGCTGTTATTAAGTAAACCAGACTTTTTTTTCAACTGCAAGAGGCCACGAAGAAGAGAATGACTCCTACAACAGTGTGGTACCACAGCCGTGATTCATGCTCAGAATTTACTCTTGCTTTTACACAGCCGTCATTGCTGTGTCAGTATAAAAGCAGGCGATGCTTTAAGATTCCTGTAAAAGCAGTTTGGCCTCATGGGCCTCCTGAAAAGGGTCTAGGCCCATAGTGATGTCCAACCTTTTGGCGTCTCTGAGCCACACTGGAAGAAGAAGAGTTGTCTTGGGCCATGCATTAAATACACAAACACTAACAAAAACTGATGAGCAGAAAAAAGGTTTTAAGTAAATTTACGATTTTGTGTTGGGCCACATTCATAGCTGTCCTGGGCTGCGGGTTGGACACCCCTGGGGAACCAGGAGGCCGCCAGAACATACTTGGAGAACTGTTTAAATGAGCAGAGTGTATTAGGTGGTGAACTTTTAAACCAAAAGGCTGGTCACTTGTAAAATAAAAAGGCAAGTTTTGAACTCAAACTATTTGAAAGACACGAAGAGATATGTAATAGGAATATATCGTAGGAAACTAAATTAAGGGAAAAAAACAAAGAAAAACACGAATCTCATATTCCACATGAATTAAAATTCTGAAGACATTCTTGCCTCCTACTAATGCTTTATAAAACATTCTGGTGTGTTCCAATGTGAGGTTAGAACAGTTCCTCAGCATTAAGAATTAAAAGAGTAGTGGTTCAAATGCAGTGGTTAGAGAAGTGGAGATATACTTTGTTAGGGAGAGTCAATGCTTATAAAGGCACCTCTGGCTGGTCTTTGGAGAAAAGATTTCGCAGAATTTGATGTGCTGAGTAAAGAGCCTAGGAAGCTGTCTTACGGACGCAAGAGCAGAACTTGTAAAATGCTTTGTTGAAGGTTAAGCTTCTCCCGCCACCTCATCTCTACTCTCAGCAGATGTGTTCCTAAGGTGTTAACAATTTTCTGAATTAGTCTTTTTTAAAAACACGTTTTTATTTTTTAGAGATGCAAATAGATCCTTGGATATTTTTGATGAGAGATCACATCCACTCACAGTAAGTGTCAGTTTTATTGAGGTTATATTTTTTCTCTCATACAGCTGTGTTTATTTCATGCTGATTTGTTTGAAATCAATTACTACAAGAAAATTACTTCCTCTAAATTGGAGTCCAAATCATCTTTCTTTAACTATCCTTCCCCACCCCTTGTTGTATCTAATTATTTTACAAAAGGAATGTTGTAAAAGGGCTATGTCAGTACTGAGTTGCAGCTTGTATAATTAGTAAGCTAAGCTAAATAAACATACCCCCAAAACAGAAAATGTACCTTTGTAAGATGGTTTTCAGGAGCATCAAATGATATAAATACTTGTAAAGAAAGTCGATAGATACATTACCATCTCTATGAAGAAAATTAATATGACGCAAACTTGCGAATTCACTTCGGATACTGTGTAGCAATATGTGGCTGGGGGCGCCTGTGTAACACAGCACCACCTTGGAGTCTTAAACAGTTACAGGGAACTGAACATGGATTTCAGAATTGGTTGCAGAGAAGTGTGTCATGGAGATCAAGACTTCGGAGCCTAACAATAGCTTATGCGTAGATAGAATTCTATAGCGGGAAGGTAGAAAGGAACACGCGTAAATTTTTTGAGGCTATGCCTCTATTTGCCATAATGAATGGTGGTGAGTATTGAACCACTATTGTTTTTGAAGATCCCATTGTTTATAAATTTCAAAGACTGGTAGACATGACACCCAGTAAAGCCTGTTTTAAGGGGCATGTGAGCACAACTAGGAGACTGCTATCACAATAATCCTTTACTTTTCTTCAGTGGATACTTACAGTGCATTTTTTCTCCTTTCAGCGAGAAACAATTCCAGAGGAATACTTTAAGCATGACCCGGAGCACAAGTTTATTTACAGATTTGTTCGTACGCTTTTCAGTGCCGCCCAGCTGACAGCTGAGTGTGCCATAGTAACTTTGGTAAGGTCGCTCTTCCTTCACAAAGCATTTCCCTCTGCCTTGTACACAGGGTGTGGTCCTGTTGTTCACGTCAAAGAACTTTATTAAGAGAAACCTATCAAAGGAAGTAAAATACACACATCTGAGCTTAAGAATTGTTGTGATTTGAAACGTTGCCATCGCTGTTCTCATCACAAATGGTTGCTTTTAAAGGCAGCAGGTGTGCTGGTCGGGTAGGGTGGGGGCAGTAGCCGAGCCATCTGGGCCATAGGCTGAGTGTAGTTCTGAGTCCCAGGCTGAATTCCTCAGGCAGTTCTAATGTGTGTCTTGAGTGAAAACCATAGCTTAAATTTTCTGTTCCTCGGATGATGGGTGGTAATCCAAGCCGTCTGTTTTCTTGTGCCGGTGAGGTTGCCCAGGATTATAGCCAGTAGTACCCAAAAGACTTTGCTAGTCGCCTGCTGAGCTATAGCTGGGTCAGGACTTTTGTGTCACCCATACAGATTTCCTATGGTAAGATCTCATCATTTAGAATAATAAGTCCTATTCTAGTGAGAATTGGTTAAAATTGTATTACTCCTCCCTGCAGCAAATCTAAAGGGAAGAGTCGATGGCATGGTCTGGAGGAAAAGAATACTTAGGTCAGTGCCTCCTCCTTTAGCATCCAGCTAACATTTTGGAGAGGAAGCTCATGCCCCTGCAGTGGGCACTGGATCAGACACAGGCTTTTTCATGGAGCTGACCAGCTGTTCGGAGTGCTCAGCGCTTGCTGGAGAAAGGCAGGAGTGCCACTTCCAGACGGAGCACTGGCTAGTACAGGAGGGCGAGCAAGCATCTGGGTGGGAAGAGGGGGAGTTCTTTGTAGACACGTTAAGCTTGGTGCACCTGCAGCAGCAGTGTGGCAGTGTCCGGTAATCACTGCAGTGGGTGGAATTAGAGCATTAAGAATTAAAAGAGTAGTGGTTCAAATGCAGAGAAAACACATGATTCAAAAGTGGACAGAAGATAGAACCGTGACAAAGAGTAGGTATTCAGTGGATATTTATGGAATGAGTAACTTCTTGGCAGCATTTAGCATTTTGACCACTCTCTCTTGAAGCTCACTTACCTTGGCTTTTCTTTGCTCATCCTCTCCTGGTTTTCCCACCATTCTAGCCACTCCTGGGGACTTGTCTCCTAATTGCTGGTAGTGCTTACAGATTTAAGTGCTGAGGGGGGAGGAGAGAACAGGTTCAACAAAGTTCTTGCTTGATGGAGTTTATATTCTATGAGGAAGACCTGTGTTTTCCAGTTAGTGTTTTTTACAAGAAGATAAAGCAGGGTGGAGTGGTAAAGTGATTACAGGGGCTTACTGCTTTACATAGAGTGATCAGGAACAGCCTCTTTAAAGAGGTAGCATTTGAACCATGTCCTGACTACACTGAGGAAGACAGGGAGCTCTGGTGTTACAGGCAGAGGGGACAAGTGCAGGATTCTGAGATGAGTGCACAATGTGCCTTGTGTTTTCAAGCAACAGTGAGGGTGGCCAGTGTAGTCAGAGTAGTGGGAAATGAAGAGAGGGGTGTGGGACGTGGTGGCACAGAAGGGTAGTGTCCTGTCTTACAGGGCCCTGTAGCTTGCAGGCCGTGGGAATAAGTTAAATTTTTGTGTGATGGGGAACCTTTGGTGGACATCAAGCAGGGCAGTGAAGTGCTCCTATTAAAGAGGCTATCCTGGCTGCTTTGGGGGAATGGACTGGAGTTGGGAGGCTGGGCAGTCAGGAGGCCATAACAGTGATGCAGGTGAGAAGGGACAGATAGAATAGAAAGTGTGGTCAGGTTACCAGTGACAGGTAGAAATAAGAACTGCTAGCAGATTCCAGCAGGCTAACTCAAATGGGGGGTTTTGCCCCAGCAACTCAGTAAGTGGCAGTGCCCTTTATGTTTGTCAGGAAAGCCTGAGTAGTAGAGAGTTGGGATGAAGAGCTCTGGTATGAACGATGAAGGCACCTTAGCATAGTAGTAGTTTCAGTACAGTGGCAGGGGGCAGGCCAAAGTGGGTTATGGGGAGAATGGGAGATGAGAGGAAGCATCTGGGCATTTCCTGTGAGAAAAACCAGAGGAAGCATCCCAGGGGCACGGAGGGTGCGGTGGGAGCAGCATTGGCACGTCACGTTGGGGAGACTCTCTGGCAGAGGATTCTTCAAAGGGGTAATCTGGGAAGTTCTGCAGAAGTGGATGGAATTGACTTCATGATTAGCCTCAGTGGGAAGAGAAATCACAACCCCACTGACACAAGAGGGCAAGGGCAATGAATGAATGAGGAGTGTCACGTACCAAGTTTGCCAGTGAAGATGACAGGAAGTGGAGAAAATGCTGGTGTTGTGTAAGTGCCTCTGATTTCTAGGAAGTAGAGAGTAGGAGACTTGAGAGCATTGAGTTTTGGGTAATGGGCATAAAGTTTCACTAAGAACACATAATATTTAATAATCATTTGTTCTTGAAAACACAGTTGAGTTTGGAGAACCTTGGCAAATCTCAGTTGTCAATCTGATAACCTTCAGACAGTAAACATACTCTTTAAAATTGGACTTTCTTCTCTGTCAAATGGCATATATACTCTTCTACAAAGCACCTGTTGAGGTACCAACAAATCACAGCTTATCTCTATAATCTTTACTCAGCTGTTAACTTCGCCCAGTTCTTTGTAGAATAGACGATTTAATACATGTAAAAGAAATCGTGAAATCCCACAAGCTAACCTGGCAGGTTTAGAGAACCAGGGAGTTCTGTTACTACCAGAGTTGACCCAGAGCTTCAGATTCTGTGAGACAGAACTAGATTTCATAAAGTGATAATGGAGCAGCGAACATCAGGGGTTATGAGAGGGACTGCCCTTTGTACGCATGCGTGTTCTCATGGAGGCACTAAGACGGGAATACTCCACAGCTGTACGGCCCAGCCTCTTCGTACACCTGTTTGTGCTGCCTGCCCTGCTGCGCACGCAGCAGCCACTGGGAGGCTCCATTGACCACCAGTTTTTATCTTCAGTGCCTGCCAGACAAGGACCTAGTTACTGTGAAAGGGTTATAAATGTGCTTGGTATTACCAGAGATTTACGTACTCAAGTATTATGAAAATCCTCGATTAACTACCATCCAGGTAGGAGACATTGCGTGTGGTAGGCACTCAGGTATTGAACTAGTTGAATTTGCACTGGGCCTGTATGTGCTGTTTTTTATAAGTGGAGAGGTAATAACACAGTGTGTTTCTTCTGGATGACCTTTGCTAAGATGCATGTTCTTTCCCGTGACCAAAAACTGGGCTGGAAATTCACATGGGCAAAGTAGACAACTGAGGTATCTGATCTGCATCTGTGACTTGGCCTCTGGCTTTGTCTGGCCAACCCATCTCTGCAGAACCTAAAAATAAGAGGCATGTAAATAAACAGATGAAATCTGTCATTGCTAACAGTTCTTATCACAGCACTTAAACTGAACTAAATTCAAAGACCAGTGCTCTACTTTTGCAGGTTTACTTAGAAAGGCTTTTAACTTATGCTGAGATCGACATTTGTCCCACTAACTGGAAAAGAATTGTTCTGGGAGCCGTTCTTCTTGCCTCCAAGGTCTGGGACGATCAGGCCGTGTGGAATGTGGACTACTGCCAGATTCTCAAGGACATTACAGTTGAGGACATGTGAGTTCGAAAGGTTTTGGTGAACTTTCTAACCATGTTCCAGTGCCCTCATTTGCCCCCATAAAGCTTATATGTTAAGAAATATTTGTAAAGCTTACTTTGTGCAGAGAACTGAAATAGGCATAAAATTACATACTTCTTTCTATCCATCTTCAGTGTACCAATTCATATTCCTCATCATTAAGTAGGTCTGGATGTGGTGGTTTTTGGCAAACATTTTACAAGTTCACTATCAGAACAACAGTACAGTACGTATCTTAATGGCTTTCCTTAAAGCATCTACTAGTTTCAGTCCATTTGTAAGGGGCATACATCTGGCTCTTGAAATAAATGTTTGGCTACTGTTAAGATCTTAGAAGTGCTAGGTTATTGAGGATTTGTAGCTTAAATCTGAGTCACATATGGTATATTTACTTTCACCGTTTTGTTTTTTTTTATATGAAGTTCTGTTGTTAAAGAAAGTATGAACAGCCTTGGCCAGGTAGCTTAGTTGGTTGTAGCAGCATTCTGATAAGCCAAGGTTGCAAGATTGATTCCTGGTCAGGGCACATATAAGAATCAACTAAATGAATGCATAAATAAGTGAAATGGAAAAAAAAATAAGAAGCCATGATAGAAAATTAGCCATTGTCCTGACCAGTGTGGGTCAGTTGGTTGGGCATCATCCCTCAAAGCAAAAGGTCGCTGGTTCAATGCCCAGTCAGGGCATGTGCCTGGGTTGTGGGTTTGGTCCCTGGGCAGGGCACATGCAAGAGACAACCGATTGATGTCTGTCTCCCTCTCTTCCTCCTCCCTCTCTCAAAATGAATTTTAAAAAATTTTTAATAAGAACAGAATTAGCCACATACAAAGGTTTCAACCCTGTGTTCTCTCCTGCCCATTTAAGAGAATTGCACATGTTTCAAAATAAGTGTTGAGTTAGGAAGCGCCTACCTCTCAGGCAGTTGGAGAAGCATCATTGGGCATCAGCCAGTGCCCATCCCACTCCAGTTTCCTGGGTCACTCAGCAACCACAGCAGTGCATTGTAGGGCGCAGCAGGTTAACCACAAGGGCGCTCCTCATAGGTGGCTCGCCAACGTGCGAGTGAAACTCTAACAAGGGCACTCCATCTGGTCATGCTAACTCTGTGGGGGGCCTTACGGGTGGTAGTTGGGATGAGCCAAAGAGGTATTTACCCGAAGACTCTCAAGCTGCCCGCTCGACGGCGGAAATGTCTTGGCGGGTGGCATTTAAGAAACGGGAAAGAGCACCTCTTGGTGATGAGCAGTATGGGAAGAGCAAGATCGTGGGAGGTAGTGGCTAGAGTTTGTTTGTTTCCTTTGCTCGTTATTCTAGATGAGACTTACTCAGAATTACCAAGTGCATATTTACAACTGAAGTGAGGATACTGTGACCAAGAGAAGGGACTAGTGATTGTCAGTAGCTGTCAAAGTGGCTTTTGGTGCAAATGTCTGCGTTGACAGTAGTGTACACTGAGAGTAATGGGGATGTTGCTGGTAGCCATCTTAGCAAACTGTGACAGCAAATGATGAATTCGAAACAAATGGAAGTACTTTTGGAAGCTGCAGAACCTAAAGTGACTTTGATAACCACTGTCGTGAGTCTTCAAACTGGTCCCTAGAGGGGAAGAAGGTTTGTAATCGTGAACACCAGCCCTGCCATGATGGCAGCTGAAATATTCTCAAAACTGCAACCGAGCTGGCTGGGGCTCTCGTTTTCGTTGTAACCTCAGAGAGCTACAGGAAGCCTAGTTGTAAACATGCTTTTTGCGTAGGAACAGAGAAACACCAGGAGCTTTTGTTGATGCTCTTTGGAAACTGGAAGGCGTTACAACAGTGTTTAGTATCTATTGGTTTCATCCCCCTGCTGTTGACTATTTGTAATGTTCTCATTTTGAGGCTCAATTGAAAAATTAGTGTCTATCAGCTTTTTCTTAAAACTTTCCAACATCTATGTATCTTTTTAGAATATATTTCCCTTCAAAAGAATAGGTTAAACTGAGCAGCTGCTATTCAGAAAATTTGCTGTGCCTGTAGATTGTATGCTATTCAGCCATCTAGCCATTGAAAAACCAACAAAAACCCCCAGAAAAATGCATATTCTGTAGGCATACTGCTTTTCTTCTGTGATTAAATCTCTATTAATAGACATGTTAATCCTATGAAGTACTGTATTTCCACACAATTAAAATGTATTAGTTGAGAAAATATAAAAGGGGTAGTGAAGTGCATTTATTCCTGTAGTAAATTAAGTCCTGATTAGCTGGTTATCACAACATTATCTGATTTACATTTCTATAGACTTATGGCCATATGAATAGGAAATGAATTTTGGAGGTCATTTTGGAAGTCAGTTCAGTTGGGTTTAAAGTTCAACAAATGAGAACATCTCATCTCTGCTCATGTTCTGACTGCTTTCCATACAGGAGAACAGCCTTTGTTGACCTAATTCATGGGCAAAATATTAAAACTTTAAAACTAAAAAAACAAATATGTTAGAAAATAAGCCTCTCATGTTTGTTCAGCTATTATCATTTTTACATTAATTAACTCTTTCAAAGGATTCCAGTGAAAGTAGCATAATTTACTCTAATTTTATATTTAAACACTTGGCAGGTGACGGCACTGTGATCACATAGCAAAGGACAGCTCCCAACTTGCTGTTCCCACTGTGTGTACTGAGCTCACCCCTGTGGCTGTCCCCCTTCTCTGTAGCAAGGGATGGTGGATGCTGAGCATCTCTGGGTTGCATTTCCAACCCGGGAGGAACACTGTTGGAGTTTGAGTCCAGAGCTCTATCAAAGGTCATATCATAGAGTGGGTTCAGTCCGGACAGGATATCTGTCTTTAATCTTTCTGCCTTCCAGTTTAAAAAGCGCATCTTGTCCTGTCATAGTGATAGTTTCTCACCCCAGGGAGATTAAGGTGAACAGAAACTTGTGTTACCCCCTCTGACTTTAGCCCCGTGTACTGGGGCACAGGGAAGGGTTCCCTTTTCCATCAAATGTGGCTTATTTATTTATTTATTTGAGATGAATCCTTGCTGCCTCAAGAGTTTTCCCCCTCGGGGATAATAGCGGTGGCTCTCGATGCATCCATTTGTTGCCGTGGTGATGTGCCCACTCCTTTTGTTGGTGCGTCTCTACTTCAATAAGCCCCTTCCTGTTATCGGTCTGGTGAAAATGTCCGCAAGTTCTTCAGAGCTAATAAACAGCACACATCCCTCCTTTCATCTGATCACTATAGTGGGGCCTCGCGAGTGCGCGAGGGGCATGAATCGAACAGCTGCACTAATGGAACTCTGGAGAGTGAGCGCGAGTCGGCAGCGCCGGTGCCCCGCGGGCTGTAACCTCCTCGCCTTGTCCCGAACTCAGAGTGCTGGGATGCAGAAAGGACCGCAAGGAGCCGTGCCTGGTTTCGGATATTAGTGTATAATGTAGCTCAGTAGCCTTTATTTGTTTCAGAACAAAATTTCGAGCCATCTTCATAGTTCAGAATGACACTTTTGAAGGTAAACCAGTTGACTAAAATTGTCCTGTGTTGGTTTTGTCTCCTCCTCTCCCCTCAGGAATGAGATGGAAAGGCATTTTCTGGAGCTCCTTCAGTTTAATATTAATGTTCCTGCCAGTGTTTATGCCAAATACTACTTTGACCTTCGCTCCTTAGCAGACGACAACAACCTGCCTTTTTGTTTTGCACCTCTTAGCAAAGAAAGAGCACAGAACCTAGAGGTAAAGCTGTGGGACCCTGAACAGGGTTCCGTCAGTCACCAAAGCCCACACCTGTGGGTAAATTTTACTAAGTGCTTACAGTGTAGAAAGCTTTTTTAAATGAACAGATTGAAGGAGAGCTTGTTAACCTGTTCACATCGTGTGTCCAGTGTCTTTCGTGGTTTCCACAAGGGCCCCATGTTGTCAGCAACAACAAGAAAAACTGCAGGTCTCTTCTGGGACCATAATTCAGAACATTCTAAATCAGACTTAGTCTGCTAATGGTTTTCCTTTCCACCCTTCCTTAGAACCATACATGAATTTCTTGCAACTGTATCACTAATCATATCTACATACATAATCTACTTTCCGTTCTTAATTCACTTTGCAAAGTCATGTCTTTTCTGGGTGTATTTTGGTTCAGTCCCATGAGTTTATCAGACAAAGCACTACTGGCTAACCTTGAGAAACATATAGTATCCCTAGACTATATACTGTGTGTTTCAAGTACTAGGGGTAGGAAGTACATGGGTTTTTCATGGAAATGGTAAAGTACACGAGACAAAGTAATTTATGGCTTATGATTTCTGATGAGTATACACAATTGTTCACAACTGAAATGGACACTTTGTGTGGTACCTTGGCGGTACTTTAGAATAAGATGTTTTCAACCATAATTAATGTGCAAGTAAAATAGTTCCTCGGCATGCTTCAGTCAGTAGACTTTTCCTACCATTCCTACCATCCAATAAACTACAGCACATGCCTGCCTCACTAAAATTTGTTTAAAAGTAGCCCTGGCTGCTGTGGCTCAGCGGACTGAGTGCCAGCCTGTGAACCAAAGAGTCATGGGTTCAATTCCCAGTCGGGGCACACACCTGGGTTGCAGGCCAGCTCCCCAGTAGGGGACATGTGAGAGGCAACCACACATTGATGTTTCCCTCCCTTTCTTTCTCCTTCCCTTCCCCTCTCTCTGAAAATAAATAAAAATCTTTAAAAATTAAAACAAATTTGCCCAAAGTATATAATAGCTAATGAAGATTGGATGGAATTTGAATAGCTGAATAAACACCAGTTTTGCCCGAGTCTGTGTTCATTATGTTTAAGGAATGGAGGCAATGGGTAATACTGCTGTTAGGATTTTATTAACACCCTTGATCTTTGGGAACCCATTTTTAGATAAGTCTAAGTTCCCCTCTGCCCTAGCAATCCAATTGTAGCCCCTAAAGGACTTACCTCAGTGAATTAGCAGGATGGCAGCCCCCAAACCTGGCAGTGTAGACCTCAGCTACCCAAAGCAGCAGAAACTGTGAACTACATAGAAAAGAGAGAATGTATGGCTTAAAGGTGACGCTTTTTTTAAAAGATTGGAACCTCCGTTTTCTTTAATTGTACCCGTGTTCTGTTTGATTTCCTTTTCTAGGCCATTTCCAGATTGTGTGAAGACAAAGACCTGTGCAGAGCTGCCATGAGAAGGTCTCTCAGTGCTGATAATTTTATTGGTATTCAGCGTTCTAAAGCCATCCTGTCTTAAGGGAGAAGTGAGGGGTTGTAACATCATGAGCCCCTGATCTACGAGGACTGGGACAGTACCACCTCACCTGCTCAGACACCAGCGGAGTTAGTCCCTCACCTGGGAGGACTCGAGAAATACCATCTCTCCTGCCCAAGAACCAGCAGAGCCAGTAAGACAGACATCAGACTGAAGAGCCTCGTGGACAGCAAGTACTATGCTTGTGGGAAAGAATGGGACCTTGTCAGTGCAACACACTGTTTGTCCTTTACTAAATGAGTTACAAAAGCCACTCCAAGCAATAGCTCCCAACCCACACACAGATATTTGCTTACAATGTAGGCTGATAACTGTGAACTATGTGAGGGTTTTTTATTGAAGTTTAAATTTTGAGACTTGAAAGACACTAACCATATATAACTTTTATGTCTTTCCTGTTTTTCTGAACTGCCCCCTCCAAGAAAGAAAGCAGAACCCCCTCCCCCATTGTTGCTGCACATTCCCTCAGTCAGTGCAGTATTACTGTTAAAATGCGGGGGGGGGGGGCTCCTCACAACCCGTAAAGCCACTGAGCGACAGACTGTGCAGCACTGTTAGGCATTGAAGGGTTCTTCCTACTACACCCTAGAAGCTGCTAGCTTATTATTGGCCATCAGTTTAAACCAAAAAGCTGCTGAATAACACTTGCCATTCAAATTCTTTGCAAGCACTACTTATGAGCATATTGGCATGTTTGGGATAAGAGAAAATTTCAGTCATTGATTATCTACTTTCAGTGGGTCCATGCTACATATCTTAAGAACTATATTGGGATTTAAAAAATAACCTATAAGGATGCTTCTCATTTTCTGTTGTATTTCTTTGTTAAATAAATGTATCAATAGATATTTCCATAATTCCAACCAATGTGCTGGTCCAGTGATAACAAGCAGGTGACAAAATAGGTGTTCCCCGAGTGCGGCGTCACGTGCCTGCGCCCCCCCAGGTGCTGCTGGGGAAGGAGCAGCCACCCACTCACAAAGGAACATCACGTGGAAGCTTACATTTCTATTTCTTGTGAACTTAGTTTTGTAAATTGTTAAAATGACAGTTTCAGCCAGTCTTTGCCATCTTCAAGAGGGAGCTGAAACAAGAAATTAAAAGATTAAATGTTTAAGAGACATTTAAATTTTCAGATGTTAAAGTCTGTAGCATTTATACTACAAGTGCCAAAACTTAAAATCGCACTGGGACTTTAGGAGACACCTTGTGTCTCCACAGAAATGCCTTCCTCTTTTAAAATAAATCTTTGCAAGTCATCATATAGGTTATTTTATTGCTTTTTATTTATTTTTCTTCTTTTCTCTTTTTTGCTCAGCCCCTCCCCTCCCAGTCCTTCGGCGCTGCCCCTGCCCCCACAGCTGTCCGCCTGCTGTCGCCAAGCTTATTAGTGCATTTTGTTCATTAGATTCCACATATGGTGTGAGATCATACGGTATTTGTCTTTTTCTGACTGGCTTATTTCACTTAGCATAATGCTCTCGAGATCCATCCATGCTGTCACAAAGGGTAAATTTCCCTTTTTTACTGCCAAGTAGTATTCCATTGTGTAAATGTACCACAGCTTCTTTACCCACGCATCTGTTGATGGGCAGTTGGGCTGCTTCCAAATCTTGGCTACTGTGAATAACTCTGCACTGAACACGGATGGTAACATTTGTTTTCTCCCAAGGTTAAAACATGATAGGTCTATTTTGATATAAGGTTCTTAATGGTTTAAGTTCTAATCTTTTAGGACACATAATTTTGGACCTGCAAGAATAACATTACAAGGAAACTTCAGTATAATAAATTAGAAAAAATTTCACAGAAGAAATAGAAATGTAAATCCAAATAACATAAACAATTCGCCAAAAATAAATAATTAAAAATAGTTATTTGCAAGCTATGCTGTATACCTGCTTTGATCATCAAAGTGTTTTTCTGGATTTGGGAAAGGAAGATTATGAGGAGCAGTGTTAATTGACATGTAATACATTTAAAGGAAGTGGACCCAACAAATAGTGTTTTGAAAGCAGGTGATAGGAAATAATAGCTCTTCTACCCTACACGTTGACTCGGCTGTAGGGGTCCCAATTCAGTCTTGCTATTTACGAGGAAACACAAATTTAGGACCCCTTACCCCAGGCTTTGGGCAGGGAGTTGAGTAATCAGTCTTTTCGAAGATTGGTAAAATGTCACCTAAACTTGAAATATTTTTAAAAATATTCTCAACTATGTGAAATCTTTCTTTTACCTACCTTCTCAAATGTGTTCCTAGGAATTTTGCTTATAAACAAAGCATTTCTGGGCCAAGGAATACTTTTTCTCAATATACAGTGCTTCGTATTATATCGAGTACTATGGGTTCCGTCACTTTTAAAAGGCAAACAAAAAATAATGGTATATAAAATACTACAATCTACCACCTCAAATAAAAAACATTGTTTATGAAGTTCACAGCTTGGAGATTTAAGTATTGATTGCAGTTTTATTTTGAAAAGAATGCTACAACTTATGTGGTTTTTCTTCCTGATGTTTATATTAAAAGAAAAGCTAATAAACCCTATTTTAAGTAAAACATGGCGAGTGTGTTTGTAACTCTTCTCTCTGTTCACATAGCATTATGTCTCTGCTTTACTCACATGTATCCAATCAGCTCTGATAGTGAGGTCTTAAAGCATTTCCGTAGTTGGTTTGACCCTTGCCTCTAAGATGTAATAATTTGTCTTACACTCTTTTCAACCTAAAGGTCACTAATTACACTTAGAATCATTGGCTGCAGTACTAACTCAGTGGCATGGTACATTAGATGGCACGTTTGAATAGTTTATCATTGTGCCAAGAGGGAAAAGCACATTGGAAGATAAAATTAGGTAAAACATACGAGAGAGAAAGGAATTACAGTAAAATATAGATCAGAATGTGAGTTATTTGAGGATTTCAAGCAATTAAACAGGTCAGAATATGGAAGAACAGGAACTAGAATTGTCTTTTAAGGAGGGGGACTTGAAACAAGCCACATAATTTGACTTTAAAATGCTACTTTCAGACTTACATTTCATGAGAAATATACAAAATTCTCTAAAGATCTCTTTACAGCTAACATCCTAGCCACTCAGCTTGAGCAATACTCAGTAAATCCTGATAGTTTCGCCGTATTGTCCTGCACCTTACTTCAGTACCTAAGGTCGGATCTTACCCCTTGCTGATAAATTACTGATCAGTGATCTGGTTTAGTTTAGAAGGACGAAACGTGTGCGTGTGTGTCAATCACATCACGGGTCGCTGTGCGATAGTTTGCACCCCACGGTAATACACTGGCTGCTAAGAAACGCTGACAAGTGTGAGTGGCCAAAGGGTAAAAGTGTGGAGAAGGCACATTGGACACAGCTGTTTCAGGAACAAGTTGGTGGAATAACTAGAATCACTAAAAATTGGTCTTTCCCTTTTGGCTTTAATTCTAGAAGGCGATGTGGCCATTTTGATAAATGGGCAATTTAGTCAACTTGGGTTAACATAAACATCACCGTGAGTGAATGGCTTCTCTGACAAGTTATGGGACATGGAAGCTAGTTACTAGTAGGGTGGCAGCTGACAGTTTTCTCAGGGTTTTAGACCAGGGTGGGGGTTGCTCCTTAAAGTAACAAGACTGTGAGAGAATATCTGACTACCTGGACTCAAATTTATTTTCATTCTTAGTTTTTCTTCCTATTGGAACACTGACCTCAGTGGAATTTTAACTCTAGTATATTGTGAACTGAACTTTTAAGTCTTCAGAACAAGACAAAGGTCTGAAATATGTTTGAACAAATTGCCATTTTTGTATGTCAAAAATCATTGCCTATCAACAATTTCATAAGGTTCATCTTAAAAACGGGGGGCCCACTGTTTCTGGTTAAAGAGAAATCTCTCCCATGCTGTATCAGATTCCACACGGCCCTTCCTTTCCCATTTATTCTTACTATGTCCCCATACACCCACACATCACTGAAATCCAGCAGCACTGAATCCTGGTTTTATAACAGCTCATGGTTCATTTCTTGGTTTAGTTTCTCTGTGTCTATAAATACACTATTCCTTGATTTAAAAAAAAAATGCTGAAGCCAGTATTTACCAGAAAAGAATTCACTCTGTATTCAGGTTATGCAGTGCTTTTGGAAATGTTTAGCTATGGCATGTAGGTTAGCTGAAATCTTTCATCACCCAAACTTTCTCCCTAACCACATCTAAAATGACTAGACTGTTCCCTCACCCAGAAACTGCATTCTTGAGTACAGGGCTACTTGGAAAAGCACTTGACAGCTGGCAGAGAAATTTCCCAGGTAAGTGTTAGTTTCAGTGCAGAATCTGCAGATCATACCCAGCATCTATCAACAAGTGAAGGATTAGATTACCTAAAGTCTTAACTTAGCCACTTACCAACCTGGTCCGCCTGCCACTGTGCCAGCAAACAACACAAAAGATCTCGGAGCCCTTCAGCGAGGCCTGTTCCCCTGGAGCCCGGCACAATCTGTCTGGTTTCTGAGGCAATTTCCACTCAGCTACTCTAGATGGGTTTGCCAGATGAGAGACCATGTAATATGAAATAAACACTAAGAATACCAGTCTGTGGTTTAGGATCTCTAGGGTGCAGAAAGAAGTAGGAAAATGAAATAGTTTAGAAATTATGCAGAATCCAGAGTCAAAAAAAGGCTAACACTAAAAAATGAACCAGTTAGGTGATTATTATAACTGCTACGAAGGGAGCTAAAGAATTTGAATGACTAGAGAAATTCAGCGATAGCACCAGCAGTTATCAATAGTCTTCAAGACCTCAAATAATTTTGCCAGCATTTTTCTTGAAAGTTTATTATTTCATCTTATTCTTCTCCATGCCACTAACTTAGTTTTAGCCTCCCAAGCGGTGGCCCTTTACCTCCTCACTGGACTGCCTTTTCCAAAGGCAGAGCTTCAAATCTCTTTGAATCCCTATTTGACTCTTCCTGTGTTCCCCAAAGTAGCTGTTACCAGTTTACCGCACTTGCCTCCCTGACTCCCCCAACCTGCCCTCCACCCTAGATGTACCTCCAAAGGTACATCTAGGCAGCATCCCCCCATTCCACACTCCAAAACTCACTTCATCTGGCATTAAGAATACATGTCTCACTACTTAAGGTAACCCCTTTCATCTGACGGGATTCCATTCCAATTCTGAAAGCAACCACCTTATTTCCACCTCCACCACCGACCTATCCTGTTCTGCTTCAAAACTGCCTTCATCTCCCCAGTGTGGGGAGGGAGGCAATTTGACTTTGCAGAGTCATTCGCACATCTTTTTTTTTTTTTTTTTTTTTATTTTTGTATTTTTTTTTCCCCCCTCCCTCTCCCTTCCCCCCCTTTTTTTTTTTATTTTTGTCTTTTAATATCGCACATCTTAAGTGATTCACGAGATGTCCCCAGACCACCCCTTATCAGGTGGAAGTGACTATGAAAAAGTGTAATGTGGAATCCTGGATAGGGTCCTGCAACAGGAAAAGAATGGTAGTGGGAAATCGGGTGGGGTCCAAATGAAGTCTGGAGTTAACGGTAACGAACCAATGTTACTTGTTTGTTTTGACAAATGTATGTTAACATCAGAGAAAATGGGTAAGGAAGGGGTATATGGGAGCTCTGGATTATCTTTGCAACATTTTTGTGCACCTAAAAAAACCTAAAAGAAAAAAACAGCAAGCAGCAGTTTCTTGGGCCCCAGGCCTCCCAACCTCAATTCCCAGAGCTGAAGTCTAGGAATCTACATTTTTAATAGCCCCTAATGATGCTTATGCAGACTAGAATTTGAAAACCTAGTTTTAATTTTTTCCATTTTATGCCTGAACAGCTGGGTAAACCTTGCTTCATCTTAATGTTGTCTTAACCTGATTTAATCCTTTAGATCTTCTAAACCCTAAGATCTGAGTATTATTATCCCCTTCCACAGATGAGAAAACTGAAGTACTAGTAAGAGGTTAAATAGTATGTCCAGGATCACACAGCCCTTAAATGGTGGAGCAGAATTGTAGTTACTAGTGTATGTGCACCACGGGATGAGCAAGGTTGAAAACCGCTGCTGTAGAGCAGACAGGGTCGATAGAACAGAACACCGTCTCAGGCCATGTCTCTGTTCTTACATGTTTTCCTTCATTTCTTCAAGTGCATCATGAAACAATGACAGGATCAACAATCATTCTAGCTCCCAAATCTATGCACATAACCATTCTAGTGCCTCTTAATCATATTTCCATCCATGACAAACTGAAGAGCTCTGTAATCAAATCACTTAAGGAAGCATTATTACCCAGACTACTCTGGGCCCACTTATTTATTTCTCCAGCATCTAAATCCCCACGGTCCCTTTGCTCCGACTTGTGACTGCCCTTTCCTCCCTTTTCCATTCGTGGGGAATAAGCAATGAGAAAGCTTTGGGGAGAAAGATGTGCCCATAGAGTCCTGAACAGGTTAAGGCCTAGATGCTCTTCCGTCAGAATCCAGCTCAACAACTGAACTCTTTTCTCCTCCCAACTATGGACCAATCTAATCATGTTCCCAGCACTCACTTTGACCTTAAAATTACATACTCTCATATTGAATTTGTCATATCTCCCCGAAACAACACTGTAAGCTCCTAATTACCGATCTTCTCCCATACTTATGCCTCAGAGCATTGCTGGAGAACAAACATACCAGGCATTTGCATGAGGTGGTGCTGGTGATGGTTGGTAGGTTGGTAGTTAACCTTCCTCTTGCTGAAGCAGCAGCCAGTAAGAAAGTACTCTGACAACAGAATCTCAGGTTTACTAAGCATCTATCTGGATTATCAGGGAAATGTCAACTCTAAATCAATTTATTTCCTCTTATCTAGATTCTCTGACTTGTGTTTATGGCTTAAGACCAAGTTGTGGGTCTAACTGGTGAATAATGAATAGTTTGTGAGTTCCTGCTCCCCAACCAGACACGCAGAACAGCGCCAACATCTACTCCAAATAGGTCGAGTAGAGCAGCGATTTTCAACCTGTGTGCAGCAAGAATTTTAAAAACATCCAATACTAGATTATTTAGTCAGGGACACTGACCTCTTCTATCCTATCAAATTAAAAAAATGACAACAGCCAACATAATAGCCATCTGATGTGAATGCCCTGTCTTGAACCATGAACAGGTCTTCTGAACCCTAAGGTATGAGTTTTCACAGATGAGAAAACTAAAGTAATAACAGGTCAAATAATATATTCAAGTTAAATTACATGTCTTACAATAGGTCATATACTTGAGTTGCGTCTTATTGGTCACACTGCATGATAGGTTACACCTGACTGGTTAATTCTTGGTACCAGAAATCCTCATATACAAGAATAGGCACCTGATTTTTAAAAAGTCACCTTGGAGCAAAAAGGGTATGTAATTACCATTGTTGTTATTTTGGGTAAATCAATCAAAATTATACCTACTTTTTGCCTGATCGGCAAAAAATATATTTTTTGGTGTGCTGCAGAACTTTAGTTACTAGTGTATGTGCCCCACGGGATGAGCAAGGTTGAAAACCGCTGCTGTAGAGCAGACAGGGTCGATAGAACAGAACACCGTCTCAGGCCACGTCTCTGTTCTTACATGTTTTCCTTCATTTCTTCAAGTGCATCATGAAACAATGACAGGATCAGCGGGAGACACCTGTGAAGTATATTTGAGTAAAACAAGTTTTCATTGGCTCTGTTTCTGGTGATTGGAATTTGCTTGTCTTATTAATAAAAACATCATCATTTACATTTTAAGTACACCTGAGAAATGTGATTATGACGTTAGAATCCATGTATCTCCTCAGATACTCTTAGAAAGCAGTGTGTCTCCATAAAAGCACAGAGAAAAGGACTTATACAGCATCTTCTTTTCTTTTCTTTGTTTTTTAAAGATTTTATTTATTTATTTTCAGAGAGAGGGAAAGGGATGGAGAAAGAGAGGAAGAGAAACATTGACTGGTTGCCTCTCACATGCGCCCCAACTGGGGATCAGGCCTGCAACCCAGGCATGTGCCCCAACCAGGAATCGAACCGGCGACCCTCTGCTTTTGCAGGACGACACCCAACCAATGCAGCCAAACCAGTCAGGGCACATCTTATTTTCTTTGCCATTGCTTTAATTGTACTTTAAAATTTATCTACATTAGTTGGGAACAAAGAAAGAAAAATAGACATTTCTTTGTTTTTTCATAAATAACTACTCTCCATATTTGATAAAAATCTCAAAGCATTATTTTACCTTCCCACAAATATAATACATACAAAATTTTTCTGAAATAATAAGGTCAGCAAATTATCATGAGACTAACATAACCACATACACAGCTGTTCTACTGACTTCCAGGAACAAAACAAAAACTTCTCAAGATGCTCTGGGTTTCCATTTGTTAGTGTTATGGATTCAGAATTATAATCATCTGCCAGTAATAATTTATAGCTTCAAGTTGATTGTCTACAAATAAAATATTGCTGGCTCCGATTCATGAGTTCTGGGGATATCTCTGTGAAGACACTGTATGAGATAGGCACTATACATATATGGAAATCATAAAAAGTATTAAATGCCCTGGACTCGAACTACTGACTCGGTATGTGCCTCATTTGGCTCAGTAATAAATTCACCTGCACCAAACCCGTATCAAAAGTCACTAAATCTCTCATATATATAATATATATTATGTATATACAAACCCACATCATATACAGACTATACAGACAGTTTGTAACAACATGAAGCAATATTGTCATAAAATGATGTGCCACAGACATTATCCTGGCTGAAATCAATCCTGTAATTGTCATCAACCTGCTCAGCTTTGCGAGTTCTGAATCAGGTTCCTTAGTGACGGACAACCTGCCCACCCCTCACCCTGCTTTAATGTCTTGGTAGCTTTTTCTTTCAGAACCACCCTCACCAACTCAGGGGCATTCCCCCCCCCCCCCAAGATCACCTGACTGGTCTTTGGAGGCAAGAAAGGGCAGGCAGAGGGAGCAGGCAAATCTCAGCCACTGTACCTTCCACCTGCCTAGATTTGTGATGTGCTCTGTCCTGTTTGCCACATTCGGTGTTAGAAAGCAGTTATTCAAAGCTTTGTCCCTTCTACCCCCCTTGGTCTTTCTGTAGAGCACAAAAGTGAAAGAAGCCTCTTTAGCAGGGGTAGCAGTTCATTAAAATATACAACTACATTTCCTAGCTCTGGGGGTCCCATTCTGTACTTGACAGTGCAGGTCACGGATGCTGTTATTAAGGTTCGGTGCGGGATCCATGAGGTTTTCTCCTGGCAGCCGGTGTCAGGATTAGTGCAGCCCTGGCCCAGGAGGAAACAGCCTAATGAAGACCAACTTAGAAACAGTGCTGTCGGCACATTATTTAAGCTTGTGCATGCGCACAATTACACACAACACACACAGGCCCGTCACTGGAAGTGGTCAGGTGAAAATATGACAAAGGTTTCCAAGGGTAAACCAATAAGGCACCAAGAAAAATAATTTGCAGCCAATTTAGACAACTTCAAAATGTGAGGAGGGAAATAATATAAATTAAAAGCACTTCCTAAGGTCATGTCAACTGATTCACGGAGAGGTCTCCCTAGTTCCTTTAGGCAACCTTCTAAAATCTTCACTCTAATCTATAAAGTCAGTAAGGCATTACTTAGAATGGAACTGTGGAAGGAGCAGCCCCGATGCTGCGCGCAGAGACCCAACCGAGCCCCGAATCCTGTCCAAGCTCATCAAGCTGCCTGCGAAGAAACTGCTAAACCACCCCACAGACTTCCACTTCATCACTGTTTTCATGAGTATGGATTGTCTGTCTAATAAAAAATGCAAATCCAGGGGAGGGTAATAGTGTGGGGGAGGGGCGTGGGGGGGTGACCGGCAATAGCTGTGGCTTCTCTCCCCTGGGTAGGGGGTGAGGTGGTGGCTACCAGTGAGACTTCAGGGAAGCAGGTGGGCTTTATCCTGGAGGGAACAGAGAGTGAAAACGAGACTGCAAACAAGGAGGCGGCTCTCAAAGTAAACCCCCAAAAGCAGTACCTGTAAGTGCCTCTCCTTGGCCTAGTGTCCTTTGTGTTAGCTGTCTCATTTTTTTAAGTACATTGGTTGTTCTTTTTAGGTTTGGCATGTGGCCAAAATGGAAAAAAAAAGTTTTTAAATGAAGAATTATTTTCATCCACTCATTCCCCAAGTTTTAGATACACCACGCACCATTTCCAGATTCCTGCACAAAGAAAAAGACAGCAGCTTTTGCCAGTTTAGCTTCCTAAATTTAGTCTCTCCTCAACCCTGGTCATTGGTGTCTTGCTGGCCAATGCTCTGTCACCTGCCTCCTCCACCCTGGCCTAGCACTCTTCATGAATGAACGGTGAAACGGATGAGGAAAGCAAGCAGGATTTCCTAATAGTAAAGAAATGCATGTGTATGTATGTACGTGCACACATCAATACATAGGTTTTCTCAGGAAAAAGGGGAGAAAAACATACTGAGGTGGGGATGGAGGAAACATTTTTAAAACGAATGCAAGTGTCTTATAGGTCTCATTTGTTTTCTGAGATGCAGAGAGCAATGTCTTGCCACTTGTGGAATACATCTCTGGCTACACACTAGTCCAAAGTCCAGGGACACTTATTTTCTCTCATTGCTGCCAATGTTTGTTCACAGGTAGCCAGCTTCCCTCCCCCAGTTCGAGCACCTCATTCAAGGGTGGGTGTGGTTTCTAATCACAGCTCTCCAGGAGAGGAGGAATAAGAAAAGCAAAAAGACTGTTTAACATGATAAAGGAGGCGGGGCTCTGGTGGAGCAGGTAAACGGTGGAAATTTACTTAATTAATAGAGGTATACCCATTTCAGTCCTTAAATCTGCAAAGCAGCCCCCTTTAGCGATGGTCACTAAGTAGTTCCAGAAGAAGGGAGTGGGTTTACTTTTACCAAAAATTACAACCCAAGTTATTCTGTAAAAAGCTTGGGATCACTGAAGCCTATGAAGCTGCCCACTCCTCTGGCACAGAGCTGACATCGTAGCAATCTAGAATTCAAGCTCAACCAATTCCCATCCCGTAGGTCTTCACTACTCCAAATATTTACACCTGGCACTATACTGCTACCTCTAACGTATTCAAAACGCTGGCGCTGTTAAGAATGAGAATGATTACAAGTTCTACAGAAAAGAAACTGAAGCTCACTAAACAAAGCTAGCTTGGACCCCAAATCGCTAAACACTCCCTAACCCTGTCACTTCTGGGAGGCCCTAACCACATTAAGCTGCCCTTGGCATGACCTGGAGTTTCATAAGGAGGGACAAGTGGCTCACCTTCAAAGATCTTGGACACTTTAAGCAGTGGAAGGAGAAAACAAGCTGAAAAAGAACACCAGTCAACTTCCCAGTCGTGATAATCCAAACTTTTCACTGTTCACATTTTTTTTTAAAGACACAAATATAGGAAGTATATTTTTCCAATTAATATCCACACAGTTCAAAGAAACCTGAACCAGGTAGAACTTCATTATAATGCCAACCTTAGGATTGTAAAGCCCCCAAAGCAAAGGTAAATTTTGTTGCCAAAAACGCAACAAAGTTAAAAATTAAGAAAAATACATATAAATTAGAAACAGGGTTCCCTTAAAGAAAGCAGTAAGAAACGCAAATAGAATACACGTGAGCTGAGCCCCTCTGAGAAGTCCTGGGACAGCTACACCCTCGAAAGGGCCCTTTCCCCTCTCTCCAACTTGCCCCAGGAGGGGGCATCAGCACCAGGAAAGTAAACGGAAGTGACCTTGGCAAAGCTACCAAACAAAACAACCCTCCTCCCTCACTCCAGGGCTGAGGCCTCCTATACATGCGATAGGGACACCTGCTTGTGGTAGGCAGCTGTGGTGGGGCCCGGCGGCCCAGTCCTGCCTGTGAGCGCTGCGCTTGCCTCGGCATAGTCCCGGGCAGCCGTGGTGCCGCCACTCTTGTGGCCCCGTCGCTGGCGGCAGCAGCAGCGGCTGGTGAATCGCCGCCATGACTCCACAGTCTTGCTGGACCAAATCCAGACGCCAGACGTGATGCCCACCACGAGGCACATGAAGTACTTGAGCATGAGCACCCAGTACTCTGGCTTAGCTCGTGGCTGGCCGGCGTCCTGGCCTGGGCACGCACAGGTGAGCGCAGCTTCCCAACTCTCGCGATAGTGCTGTTCATACAAGTAGCAGGCCACCACAATGCTGGCGGGCACTGTGTAAAGTAGTGTGAAGATGCCAATTCGGATCATGAGCTTCTCTAGCTTGTCTGTCTTGGTGCCACCCTGCTTGATGACACTACGGATGCGGAAAAGTGACACGAAGCCTGCCAGGAGGAAGAGTGTGCCCACTAGCAAGTAGAGCACGAGAGGGCCCAGCACAAAGCCACGTAGCGAGTTCAGGTTCTGGTTGCCCACGTAGCAGATGCCAGCCACTGGATCCCCATCCACAGAACTCAGCGCCAGCGCGGTGATGGACTTGACGCTTGGGATGAGCCACGCGGCGAGGTGGAAGTACTGCGCATAGCCAGCAATGGCCTCGTTGCCCCACTTCATGCCAGCTGCCAGGAACCAGGTGAGCGACAGGATGACCCACCAGATGGAGCTGGCCATGCCGAAGAAGTAGACCAGCAGGAAGACCACAGTGCACAGTGCAGGGCCTGTCGTCTCATAGTGAATGTGGCTGTGCTCACGGCTGCAGGCGACACTGGCATGGCCCACGACCAGGCGCACCAGGAAGCCCAAAGACACGCACAAGTAGCAAGCTGACAGGAAGATGATAGGGCGTTCAGGGTAGCGGAAGCGTTCCATGTCTATCAGGAAGGTGGCCACCGTGGTGGAGGTAGAAATGAAGCACAGCACAGACCACAGGCCGATCCAGAAGGTGGCGAACGTGCGCTCGTCGGGGCTGAAGGAGGGCTGGTAGCAGGGAACCGCGCAGTTGGGTACCTGGCCGGTCCTCACTTTGTTGTAGAGCGGATGAGACTCCTTCAAGATTGGCACAAATGGCTCACGGCACTTGCACACCGATTGGCCCCCTGAGGTGCACTCGCCTCCAGAGGATGGGCCCCCTGGCGGTCCTGGGTGGGTGGGCTTGGCCGGGAAGAGCCTAGGGGGCACTGTGGTGGCCTCGCTGCGGTTGTAATCCATGCACAGGACCTCGGCATCGCGCCCCAGCACCGGTAGTCGGTCGCAGCTCATGCGCTCCGGCCAGGCGAAGCCGTACTGGCGCATGAGGGGCGAACAGCCAGCTTTGGCACGCTCACACACAGAGCGGCAGGGTGGCAGGGGCTTGTGATAGTCGGGCAGGCAGATGGGCGTGTACATGGAGCACAGGAAGAAGAGCAGGTCCGGAGAGCAGTGGATCTCCACCAGCGGCCAGAACTGGTGCACCTCCAGGCCCGCTTCGTCCTGCGTGTCGTGGTTGAACTGGTTGGGCATGTGTGTCAGGTTGTAGCCTATGCCGCGGCACATGGGTACCGTGATTTCCTGGCACACAGGGGCCTTGGAGGCGGCCACCGCCCGGCCTGCAAGCTGGGCCAGGAGCAGCAGCAGCAGCGAGGGCGGCGCACACGGGTCAGGCCGAGCCATAGCCCCCTCCCTCCCCTTGCCTCGCACAGCCCGCGAGGGGCCAAGGCAGGCAGGGGAAACCGGGGCCGGAGCTTCCCTCTCCACGGACTTGTTTGTGGCGCCGGGGCTGGCAACCTGTTGGTTCTTTTTTTCTTCAAGAAATCCGGCCCAAGATAAACTGTTTCGGGAAGGCGCTGCCTCCCTCCGCGCTTAGTTCTTCGCCGGATAGGATTGGGGAGGGGCAGTTAGGGCTCCGATTCCAAGGAAAGTACTCTTTAAAAAAAGAAGAAAAATTGCAACCACTCCCAATTAGAGGGGAGTCAACGGCTAAGTCCCTGCAAGCGGTGGCCAAATCTCTAGATTCAACTCTCCCTTCCCTCCTCTCCACCCCCTGAAATCGAACTGTTGTCTCCCCGCCCCACCCCGCCTCCCTTTCCACTGGGCCCTCCTGGCTGGACCCCAGGGTCGGAGCGATCAGCCTCCCTCTAGTAAAGGGCAGAAGGCCAGGGAGAACGGGGGAAATGAGAAGGCGCGGGCTCTCACCTTCGCTGAGCCGGAGAGAAGCAGATATTCTGCAGCCAGCCTGGGTCCTCCGTCCCTGGGACACTCCGCTCAAAAATGCGACTCAGAGCCAAGCTGGCACCTGGAAAGTTTGGTGATAGGCTGGGTATTCGAGGAGGCGGCACATGGCAGCAGCAGGTGGGGGCGTCTCAGAGCGGGGGTCGCCCCCTGAACGCGATCGCCGCAGGCCGGTCACTCGCCCTCTCCTCCTCCGGGGCCCCCAGCATGATCCGGGTGGGGCAGGGCCGGGGCAGGCCGTGCGTTCCACCAGGGTCCCGAAGCCGCACGAAGGGCGAACGCCCCTGCAGCACCTAGGCGAGAGGAAGGCGGTGTGTGGCGGCTGGGGCACTCCGCCGCTTCACAGCGCCACGAGCAGCTTGCGCTGGCCCAGCCGGGACTGCTTGGTGCGCGCCAGCCGCCGCGTCCCGCCCGCCGCTCGCCTCCTCCCCTGCAGGGGGCTCCTCGCTCCAGCCGAGTCGGGGGCGGTGGCGGCGCTCCTGGGACGCGCCCAGCTCGGCTCCTCCTCCGCGCACTCGCACCCTTTCTCCCACCTCAGGCTGGCGCTGAACAGCGAGCCGCGGCGGCGGAGGCGGCGACGGCGGGGAAGGAGTCACGGCCGCAGGCTGACTAGCCTCTCCCGCTCCGCCCGGTCACCTGCTTCTAATGCCCGCCGGGAGGCCCCGCCCCAGCCCCGCCCCCTCGAGCTAGGGCTCGGTTGGTGGGCTGCTCCGCCACGCTCTCCGTGCTTCCCCGCCCACTGCCCCGCGAGCTTGGCCTCTCTTCTGGGCGCCCTCTGGCCCCTCCCTGAGCGGGCAGCCGAGCCACGCAGCCCAATCGCTGGCCGGGACGCGAGAGGGGCGGGGCGAATGCTAATCACGCCTTCTTGAGACCCGGGGCGGGAAACCCTCGCTGGAAGTCCCAAGGAGTTCTCTACTGGCGCCCACGGGTGCAGGGCTCACTTTCCTGTAATGTTCTAGCTTCTGAACCTTTGCTCCCAGAGCCCCCTCCTAGGTCTCCTCTCTGCAGCTAAGCATTCTTACAGAATCCAGCGCTTGTTTAAAAGAACCGCTCAAAGAATCATTCTTTACCGTGGCACCTGTCCCCACTCTGGGCAGTCCTCAAACCAGGTGAGCTTCCGTCGAGAGAAGACCGAATGCCTGCTGAGCCGCACTGTGTGCCGGACAGTGAGTTAATTGTTTACATCTTAATACAAATCTCAGATCCTTGCAACAATTCTATGAGGCAAGTACACCTTACAGGTGAAGAAACAGAGATTTAGAAACTTAACCAGGGTATTCGAGCTAAGGATAGTTTCCCCCGAGAAAACCGCAAGCTAGGCCATCTTGTACCCTGCAGTATTCCAAGGGCTTGGCACGTAGTAGGCGCTCAGATGGCAAACCCAGAATTGGAACCCAGGTAGCTGAGCCGTGTCATGCACAATTAAACCATTCCTCCTATGTACAACAGGTATCTGCAAGGCTTCAACCTTTACTTTTGCGTTTTGTAACAAAATCTTAGGCTTGTGACAAGAAAGTGATTTTTTTTCTGTCTTTGCTCGAGAGATTTTAATCCTTTAAAATCCCAGGCTGTTCCCCGCAGAGACAAGCAATGCTGGCTCCGGGCTCTGTAATAGGCAGGGCGCTGAGCCCCCTGGGGACTGCGGGCTGCTAAACTGCGCACCCGCTTGCTGCCGAAGGCTGGGGCGGGCGCACGGAGCAGCCGCCGCCCGCGGGAAGACCTGCTGGGCGCCCGGACTGCGGGGACACACAGTGGCGCTCTCCAAATGGGTTTTTATGCTGCGAGTTTTAAATGTCCTAAAAATGCCTCTTTTTCTATGTGTTCTAATTAGGTTGGAAGACTGAGGTGTTTAGCATACTTGAAATTCATTCACACGCTTACAAAGAGGGTCTGAATTGTTTCCCACTCCCCCACCTCTTCCTTCTGGGGAGGAGGTGAAAAAAGACTGGAGAGCCAGGGAACTTGAAGGACTCAGGACTGGACTAAAGGGGTGAGATAGGCCGCGGTTATTATTCTTGTGTCCTGGATTCCATTTTGTACAGATTGAGAGACTAAATGGCAGAATAACCCTCTCCCTCAACAAAGCTCTGTGGGAAATAATAAAGAATATGTGTATTAATCGCAGCCTCAGAATTTAAAAGGAATAAATGTCAAGAGCTTCGCAAACATCAAAACTATTAATAAATATGTTTTACATGTACATTACATCTTTCATTCCTTGGAACTCTACAGGTGTTCATATTTATCTCTTTTGTTTTTTGGAAATACTTGGCACTCTGGGTGGGCAAACTTCCCAGGGCTGAAAAGTTGTGGGAGTTGAAAAGCCAGGGAATAGCAGTCAGAAAGGCAGGAAAACCCTCAGTGGAAAGTATGTGTAGACTGTGAACATGCCAGGGGAGAGCTGTCTCATTCTGCGCCCTTTATGCAACATGTGTGTTATTGGGGATAGACAAGTGTTGGCTAATAATAAAAATTATTTGAAGTTGGAGAATGTTAATCACTCCTCCTGGAATTTATCCAGAATACTTGTGTTATTTCACATGGTTCTAACTCAAACGATGTTATCTACTGGTTTGTAAACCTCTCTCTGTTCAATCAGTAGCAAAAGTTTTCCTTTGCTTGGAGATCTCTAATAATAGGAGCAATAACAGCAGAAACTTTGCCAAAACAGATTTATTTTGCATTGTAAAATTTTTTGTATCACTTGGATTTTTGCTTTTTAAAAAATGTACATTGTTTCTACTAAAGGCAGCTTAAAATATGTCAACTGTTTAACATGTTAAATATTAGGCAGGATGCTAAATAATTCATTTATGTTAGTCCATTTAATTTTCACAACAATCAAGTAAAACTGGCACCATAATGACTTGCTTGAAGTTACTTATTTAGTCATTGGAAAGGATAGAAATCACTATTGTGTCCTGAGTCATAATTTATTACTCAACACACTAGAAACACTAACTTATGATTTTTAAATCCTCACCCTAGGATGTGTTTATTGATTTTAGAGAGGAAGGGGGAGAGAGGGGGAAAGAAAGGAAGGAAGGGAAAAGAGAGAAAGAAACATTGATGTGGACAGAAACATCCATCGGTTGGCTTGTGTATGTGCCCCGACTGGGGATCTAACCCACAACCTACGTAAGTGCCCTGACTGAAAATCAAATTCATGACCTTTTGGTGTACAAGACAACACTCCAACCAACTGAGCCACCTGACCAAGGTTAAATTATTTTGAAGATGCATTTTTAAGCACCTGGAATATTGCCAAACATCCTAGCCTATTAATTTCATAAGCCTGCCTCCATCTATCCACTCATCCAATAAACACCAATTTCTGAGTTGAAGACACTACTGGTACATTAAACATGTTTCTACAAAGCCAAATTCATTAAATTCAACTTAAGTTATTGTCAAAGGTGTGTTTATTGATGAAAATACAGACCATGATGCTAACTAACCATCCCAACTACTAAGTGTATGGCATTCGAAATACTGCTTTTGGAGTCTGTCACCAGGGAATAGTTACTGCATTTTTAATCTTATTAGGCTTGTGTTGATTATACACGTACTATTTTATTGAGACACTTGAGAGTTAAGCGATATAGGAATGAAATTGATAGTCTTTCCTTCCTTCCTTCTTTTCTTCCTTCCTTTTTAATTCTCACCTGAAGACAACCAGTTCCAGGAAAAGGAGGAAGGAGAGACAGACAGACAGACAGACAGACAGATAGATATCGATTCCACCAATCCACCTTCCATATGTGCCCTGACTGAGCCACACCGATCAGGGCTAGATAGTAGTCTTTGTACACTCTTCAATATCTTGATAATCAAGCCTGGAATGGGCTTGGTTAGATGTCTTCAATAAGGTTGTGTAATAAATGAGTGAATGAATGACCAGCTGAGATTAATGTTTTAAACTTTCGGAGCTGGCATTGAATCCCTGAATCCAGCTTACCTTATAAGCCGTATCTGAAGTTGACTGTACCCTGTTAAGAGCAGCATGAGCCAAACCTTGGCTCTTCCTTTACTAGCTGTGCCACATTGGACAAGTCACCTAATAGCTCCAGGTCCTCTTTCCTCATATGTTAAGTAGAGTTACAAAGAGTTATTTACCTCATAGAGTTGTGAGAAGTAAATGAATTTCTTTGTTAAAGGGCTTAGAGCCATGCGTAGCACCTGGTGAGTCTATATAGGACTTAGTTATTATTATTATTATTATTATTATTATTATTATTTATTATATTAATTTCTACTAAGGTTATTCTATTTTTCTCTTTTCCCAATCTTGTATATTTCCTCTTGTATATTACTTTAATAATGAAAAAAGAAGTTACATTTTTTAGGTGTACTTTGTGTCTGAGCACACTCCCAGCTGTCACTAGCTATCTCTAGCATTTAGATACCAGCTAAATTCAATGCCAAAGCAGGGATCATTTCACTTGTCCTTGATCAAAGTGCTTACACCTGCCATCAGCAGCCAACTGATAGTGCACACAGGGCTGGCATGGCATAGACGCCTGTGCGCCAACATAAATGCCTCACAGGTATTTTCAGACTAGCTCCATACATGTCCTAGAGCAGTTCTGGTTAGTCCTCATCAAATCAGACACTTCTAGACAAAAAACCAAGACACTAACCAGAGGATTAACACGATGAGTCATTTGCCCAGGTTTGTAAAGAGAATGAAATAATTCAGCTATAATCTTTAGTCTCCTCCCTTCCTGCACTGTGGTGGAGATTATAGAAAGTAAAGGCTTTTTTCTTTTCTTCCAGAGATAGTGGAAGTAGCAATCTTTCCCCTGTTGAGCAGTGGCTCTCAGCTGAACCTTACAGTCACCTGGGGAACTTTAAGGAATACCGGTGCTTGGGACCTACTAAATCAGAATCCGTAGGTTAGGGCTCCAGCTATTGGTTTTTTGTTTCATTTGTTAGTTTGTTTTTGGTGCTGTTTTGGTTTTAACTCTCCAGGTGGTTCTGATTTTCAGTGAGTATTGAGAACCACTGGCCAGGTGATTTTGTTATTTTCCCAGTATAGCCCCAAACTTGGGCCTGGCCGGACCTTCTGCAAAAAGAGTTAATCACATCAGTAGACAATATGGAATATCTTAGGAGAAGGTATTGGAAAAGTGCACTTTAGTCTAATTACATGGGAGTCTGGGCTGAAGGAAGAATTATTAGCAATAGAACTGTGGTGATGGTATGGTTAACGGCAGTGATGACTCTAACCACAGCAACTGATGCGTATGAAGCATTTCCAATGTGCACATACTGTGCTAAGCATTATGTATATAATCTCTTTTACCTCAAGGTTCAGACAAGTTAAATAACTTGTGACCCAAGATTACACACCTTCCAACTTAGGTTTTCCTGACTCCCAAGCCTATGCTGTCATTGATTTCAGGCCTCATTGTAATCCCAGCAGTAGAGGGTCTGGGTAGTAAATCTTGAGTTAAATAATTCCCCTTGCTCCTTAGCATCCCTTTCCTGGTGGACCAGGTCGAATCTTTAATTCTGGTGTTTGGGGGAGCTAAAGTGTGGAAAAGCTGAGGACTCTGGATTCATGTAGAATACAGTAAAAGTCTTGTTCTTTGGGCTTTGCAGACCAGGAAGGAAATAGGATGTTCCTTAGACTAGGTTTCAGAACCTTTCTTGTTTCTTGGCAGAGGAAGTTTCAGTTCAGTAAATATTGATGCTGTACATGCTGTGAGCGAACCACTGGTGCTGGGGTACAAACGTGATAAGGCATGGACTTACCGGGCAGGGCATGGTGGGAGTGCAGAGGAGGCACCTACCTCAACCTGTGGACTCAGGGAAGACCCGGCTGTGCTTAGAAGGCTCAATACGAGTTAGGTGATCTATCAGCCAGGTTTTAGTACAGGAAACAGAAACCACTCTCGGTACTTCAAGTAGAGAAAGATTTAATCCTGAGAATCAGTCAGGGGCTTACAAAATTGTTGAAAGGGCTGGAGAGGCAGAAGACAGAGAGCTACTTCTGGACTATTAAGTCCAAGGGCTCACCACTGGAACTATGTTCCAGAAGCCAGGATGGTGCTGTTGTAGCAACTGCTCTTCACACCGATGAGACTGGTGACTAGACACTGAGTTGGGGCACTGAGTCCAACAGCATTAAATGCCTATTAATGTTATGTCTCAAACCTGGCTTGCCAGCAGAATGAACAATAGCAGCAGAATGAAATCTCTCTTTGCATCTACCTGCCAAATGTAACAGGAGTGCACCTGGTTGACTGAATGTATTTCAGATCCAGACCATAGCTGCAAGGGAGTCTGAGAAATGTACTTCTGAGGTTTGCAAACTCTCCAACTAGATTACTAGAAGGATTGAATTGAGGCCTGCAGAGGCAATCCTCTATATCTGCTACATGTGAAAAAAAAAATGAGGACTTCCTATACAGAGGAATCAGCAGAAGTAAAAGACATAGGCCGTGAAAGAGCACAGTACAAGTGATGGGCAGCTGGGCCTGACTAGGCTATCAGGGAGTAATAGGAGCATTGAATCAAGGGTTTTACCTAAAAGTATACTCTGTGTTTAATCAATGTATTTTTAAAAAATTAACTAGATTCCAACATACACTCAACACATATTTTTTCCTTGATACAGTACTAGACTCATTCAGCTAATAAATCTGCTAATGCAGACAGAGAAAGAATATGAACAAAAAACACAAAAGAGAACAGACAAAAGTGCTAGGTGATAATACTCATTCACAAAGAAAATAGAACCTTAACGTCCTCCAAGCTTAACGTTGTGAATACGGTTGATTACCCACCCAAGAATCATCTCCCCTTTCTCCTTCCTATCAGAACCGAAGTTTTTTTGTTTTGTCTGGGAATCTACCATTTTCTGCACAGCCGTGTACTTCAAGAGAGGCAGGAGTTCCCATCTAAGTCTGAAGAAGTAACACATGATCATGTTGCTGCTCTTCTTAATGGTATATGTTCATGGGGCACAGTTCTGGCCGGTAGGGGAGTGGGCCAATGTGAGGTTAGTGTGCCTGGGGCTCATGGGAAAGGTTTTACTCAAAAGGAGAAACAGTGTTCTTCCGTGTTAGGTATTGTTTTGTCCACATGTGATGGCTGCCACATGCCATCTTGCAACCACAAAAGACTGACCCGACACCGGGGAAGGATGACATCAGGGCTACCCGCTCGGCCTGCCTCCGGACTTCTCGTTATGTGGTACAATACATTGCTTATTTCTGAGCCAAATGAGTCAGTGCTTTCTTCACTTGCAACCAGAAACATCATAACTACTACATACAGTCTGTGCACTTAGGATGAGGATATGCTCATGTGGACTTAGCTAATGGAAGTCCCTGGAGGGACTTCTCCCTTCTGAAGGAGATTTAAGGACAGAAATGCATTCAGCCTTTGTCACCAGAAAAATTGTTAGTTATCCTTCAAAATCATTCAAGAC